GCTAAAAGTTACAAGCAGTGTTGATCCTACAGCCTGAACATCAGACTGCCTTGAAATTTCTTCCACCAGATTACTTAGCCTACCACCTGCCTGGCAAGGTGGTGCATGCCTGTAATCCCAGCACTCTGGAGGCTGAGGCAGGAGGATCACCACTGAGTTAAAAGCCAGCCTGGACTACATAGTGAGACCCTGTTTCAAAACAAAACAAAACTTTGAGGGCTGGGATTTAGCTCAGTGGTTCTCCCGCCAGCCTCGCAAGCGAAAAGTCCTGAGTTGGATCCCCTGTACAAAAAAAACAAGTACAGCAACATTTTGGGCCGGGGATTTAGCTCAGTGGTTCTGGCTGCCTGCCTCACAAGTACAAGGTCCCAAGTTCAATCCCTGGTACCAAAAAAAACAAAACTTTGAATCTTTGTATTTTTTTTCAGTTATAAAAGTGATTGGAATCAACTACTGTTAAGAGCAAATTAATTTGGAACCCTAACTTTGAACAGTTAATATCTAGATATCACATCCAGATTTATCTTAACCCTTAACACAACACACTAAAATTTAAAAATAGCAATAGAAAATATTTACTGCTTTGACATTATCATTTTAGTTGTCAAAACCCATTCTTTCATGGAGAGTAAAACAATCCTCAGACTAAGTGTAATCATAAATTATTTTGTCAATGACTCTAAAGTCAAATTATAAAATTCAAATATCACCACTTCTGGAGCTGGGTGTGGCAGTCCACACCTATAATCCCAATACTCTGGAGGCTGGAAGATTGCAGTGAATTGGAGGCCAGTCTGAGCTATATAGTCAGTTCAAGGCCAGACTAAACTACATAGTGAGACACTGTCTCAAAAAACAACAACAAAAAAAAAAACAACAAACACTTCTGATTTCCCACAAGGATCAAATAAAACCACACACACACACACACACACACCCACACACACACACCCCTAGAACAATGCCCAACATAAATTAATGCTTTAGACACATTAACTGCCTTCCTCTTCATCTTAAACTATGGCATGTGTGACTGTCAACTCTGATGCGTTAACTTCATTGGATTAAGAAATGTAAAGTTAGTAAAGTTTGCTGTTGGGAGTGTGGAGTGGGTCGTGGAAGTGTGGTCTTGGGTACTATATATGCTCCCTCACCTGTTTTTTTCTGGCACTGTTCCCCAGCTCTGCTTAGCTTCACTCCACCAACCCCTTCCACCATAAGTTTTTGCCTTGGAGCCTACTGACCAGGTACCTTATTTCCTGAAACCGTGAGCTAAATTAAATCTCTCAACTTTTAAACTGTGGATATCAGGTACAATGAGAAAGCTAATGGAGAATGTTATGAGGAAAGCATAGGTTTAAGAATTAAATAGATTTGAGTTCTCACTGTAATTACTCACCAGCTATGTGACTTGGGTCAAATTATTTAACTCCACCATTAAACAAAAATGCCTACCTTTAAGATTAATGTGAACTCATTAAAGATATTTCATAAATGTCCAGGGCTGGGTACATAGCTCAGTGGTACAGTGCTTGCTTGCCTAACACCTGCAAGACCCTACTTCGAGCATCAGCACAACAACAAAAAAAAAAGTCCAACCTTCATCTTCAAGATCATCTATTCATCACTGTACCAAAGGCACAGAATCCTAGGTTGTTGAATTCAAAAATATCTATCAGAATCCCTATTTTCTGTAAAGAATCACACTTACACAATACCTTAACACAGTACATGACATACAGTGTGTACACCATGAATGTCTATTGAACTCAAATGGATTACTACGTCCACTATCATCTGGCTAATCGTAGCAACCTGGACTACCATGATGTGGGATTGGCTCCTCAAACTAGGGCTCTTTAAACGTTCCTGTGTATTCTCCCTAGTTTAAGTCATCTACTTACTGATACATTATACATTTATACATGTTCCTTCACACAAACAAATGTAAGAGTCATAACAAGTTGCTACCACAATTTAAGCTTTTCTATTGTGAAAGAGGTGGAGAGGCTGTCATTCCATTCTTGTCAAACACAAAGCAGAATAGACTAAGTAAAATACTACACGCTCAATCCACAGATGCAAATACAGCCCTATGAGGTGAAGTGAAATATGCGTGAAATACCTGTAAGACCCTGAGTCAACTCACTGCCTCTGGGTGACATGTAGAAAACAGGCTTTTAAAGCTTCTGAAAATCGCAGCTTCAGAGCTTTTGCAACACTTGCTTTTACGATACCACGTGAAGCAAAAAGACATAACTAGCCTCCCAGCACTGCTAAGACCACACAACCATTCACAGGCTGGGAAGCACAAACAGGCCTTGTAAACATATAATCAGGCAAACCAGGCAAACCGGCAAAGGAGGCCTTCATCTAACCTTCTTCCAGATGGCAATCGTTCTACTGAGACAAACCAAGCAAAAGCAGGGTGTGCAAGCTGCCGACTCAAAATAAATAACCGGAGATTTTGACATCCCAGCGGTCCTCTTCATCTTTAACCTTTCCGGAATGCCAATCAATGCAATAGGGTCTGCTTCGGCGCCCCGTGACCCCTGTATCCCAAGGGGCAGGACTGGTCACCTCCTTCCCTGGGCCCTTTTCAGCCCCTCCATACACCCCGAAGCACTGACTCAGTTGTTCCCATAACTGATGTGTGTAGACTCCATCACGTCTGTTAAGTTTCTGGAACACGCGATCTAGGTGTGCAGACAGACCAAACAACACTATCGCGTATCCCCGAGCCCTGCTACACTTGGGTCCAAACAGTTCCCAAGGGGGGGCCGAACGTCATCAACCCCGGCGACAGCCCTTCAGATCGCCCTCGGGAAGGGAGCGAATCCCGCCCGGCCGGACGCCAGCAGCTCTTACCCATTTGTCCAGAGGGACCTGGGCGAGGGACCCGGTGCCCTGATACAGGTCCAGGCTGAGCTGCTCCAGGCTCAGCTTCTCCTGCAGGAAGTGGCCGAGGTACCTCTGTAGGAGGTACCGACAGGCCCTCTTCTTGATGGACTCTGAGAACGGCCAAGGCATGGTGACGGCTGGCTGCTGAGGCTGAGGGCGGTGGCTCCGGCCTCGAGTCCCGGCCAGTGTCCCCAGGCCGCGGCGGGGTCTAAGCCCAGGGCGGCCCCAGCATGCCGGCACAGCGCCGCCGTCCCTCAGGGCGACCCCATCGCCGGCGCCGCGCCGACCGCGCTAGGCCCGGCGGGGACCAGGCGCTGAGGAGCAGCCGTCGCCTCTGCCAGGGAGATGTGCGGTCCTAGTTGGCCCAGAGAGAGGGTGCAAGACACCGTGAGGGGAGGCGACAGAGACTGTGGCAGAACCTCCAACGCCGCCGCGCGACAAATTTGTTGTCATCTACGAGGCGCGCTCCCGACCGTGGGGACGCCCCCGGCGCGTTCGCGAGACCCAGACTTCCTGCGTCAGGTCCGCGCCGGCGGAAGTGACGCCATACTGAGAGCCGGGGAGGCGGGGAAAAGGGCCCGGGCCAGAGCAGTTCCGGTGGCGAGAGGGCGGGGCAAGGGCGAAGGCGGGGGCGGTGCCGCGGGTCGGCTCCAGGCGCCTCCGAGGGAGGAAGAGGAGGACACTGGGCGCGCGCAGGTGAACTCCGCCGGGAGGGCTGCGGGCGGGTGGGCGAGCAGCGAGGCCCTCGGGACCCCGACGCGGCGCAGCGGCCGGGCCGTGAGGGGAGACGGGCAACAGACGGGCCCGGCGTCCGGGCTCAGGGAGGCTGGGGGCGGGTCTGGCCTGGGTGTCCCAGCCCCTCGGGCGCTGGGGTTCCGGGCGCCGCCGGCTGCATGGCGCGGACTGGAGGAGCCCCTCTCGGGCATCTCCGCCCAAGTATTGACCCGTGCCTGTGGTCAGCAAGTTGTTGGTCCCCCGCTTCCTGCAGGCATTGTTTCCAAAGCCTCCTCTTCGCTACTCTTCGTCCAGTAGTTCGCAGTTTGCAGAGGGACTACACGCTTAGTTGTGCATCCTGGGTGTGGTACTCAGATGACCAGGAAACTTGGGATTTCAAGGCATTTGTGAGCAAAACTGCTTTCCGCGATAGATGCCAAAGCCTCCCGACCCTGCGGGGACCTCGGGAAAGTAGTATTTGTGCTGTCCTGGGAATCTGCGCAATCATATCTCTGCCTTTTAGATAGCGAGCCTTGCAGAGGCGGAGCTGACTGTTAAGTTAGGCAACCCTGAGAGGCCTGGGTGTGGCAGCCGGAAGCCAGATGTCTTGGGTTAAAATCCTGACCTGGACACTAACCAAGCCACCTTGAACCGGCCGCTGACCTCTGAGCCTGCGTTTCTGAGCCTCTCCAAGTGTGAGCATATTAGTGTCTTAGTCCAGAGGTTGTTGGAAAGATTAAATGATGTGAGAAGAGCGCAAACCTAACAGGGCCTGAAACATAACAGCCTTAATTTAAGGGATAATGAATTAAGAGGACCAGTTTAAAAAGTTAAATATTTACTGCCTTGACGCCTGTTTATGAATGCTAACATAGCCTAGAAATGTTGACATAAAGATGTGGTTCTCTTTTCCACAGCCACCTTTCCATGTTAAAACCAGTGTGCTCTCCACTACATGTGGTTGTTGGATTTTTGATGCCCTTCATTCTTAATAGACTTTTCCCAGTAACTTCAATTCCCTTGCTCGTTGTTCAAAAATATATACTGAAAGTTCTGTTAAATAAAACCGCTTCAGATAATGATGTGGAAAGTAAACAAAAATCAGGCAGAAAGAACTGGAGATGTAGGTCAGTGGTAGAGTGTGTAAGCTACCTTAGTGCAGGCTGCCTTGGGTTCAATCACTAGCACCAAAAGAAAAAAAAAAAAACCCAGAACCTTCAAGGAGCTTATGTTCTAAAGTAGAAGGGCCATTTGCTTTTCTACTATTTACTGATTTCCTGCTGTATATCAGAAGCTGTTGTAGGTGCTGAGAACACAGCAATAAACAGATTAAATCCCTGCCTTCATAGAGCTTGCATTTTATTAAAGGGAGGGAAAACAGACAATCAAATTGAGTAGTACACATATGGTGATAAATGCCAAGGAAATGTAAAGCCGTTGTTATGGTTTGTATCTTAAATGTCTTCCAGAAGCTCATGTGTCCAAGGGTAGGTCCCTGATCTGTGGGCACCATGGGGAAGTAGTGGAAACTCCACAGGTGGGAGAAAGCAGGTCACTGGGGACATGCCTTGAAAAGCATACTAGGACCCTGGCCCCTTCCTGTCTTTTTGCTTCCTTGCTGCCATGAGGTGAATGGTTTTTCTCTGCCTCATGCCTCTGTGGTGATACACTGCCTCACCTTAAGCCCAAAAGCAGTGAGTCTAAGATACCATGGACTGAGACCTCTGAAACCATGAGCCAAAAGAAACATTTCCTCCTTTTAACTTGTTTATCTCAGATATTCAGTCACAAAGACAGAAAGCTAAAGGCTGGGGATTTAGCTCAGTGGCACTCCACCTGCCTCGAAAGTGCAAGATCCTGAGTTTGATCCCCAGTTCTGGGATGGGGGAAAGAGAGCTGACACACAAGGGAAAGGACATGGAGAGAACGTAGAGATCTGCCTTTCTTATGTATATAGGATGGTAAGAGAAGGCCTTTTATCCAGTAAAATGAGATTTTAGCAGAGACTTGGAGAAAGCCAGGAAGTGAGGCATACAGACACCTGGTAGAGGAGTTTTCCAGGCAGGAGGAACAGCAAGTGCAAGGCTCTGTCACAGGAGCATGCTGGTTAGTTCATGAAGCAGCAGGAGGGAATGAAGGAAGGAAGAGAAGCTGAAGGGGATAGGGAGCAGATCATACAGGGCCTTGTAGGCCATTATAGGATTAGGGCTTTTTCTGTGGGCGAAATGGGTCAGCATGCTAACAGCTGTGTTGTAAACAGTCTGCTGTAGGGGTTGAAGGCCAAAGGTGAACACAGCAAGACCAGTTAGAAAGATGTCAAGAGTCAGGAGAAGGAGCTGTGGCCAAAGAGCCCCTTGGCGGAGTGATGTATTTCTTGGAAGATGGTGGAAGGGGCTATAAGCCAAGGAGCTCAGGTGGCCTCTGAAAGCTCGAGATGACAAGGAAATAGATTCTCTGGAACATCCAGAAGGAGCGCAGCCCTGCAGACACTTTGATGTCAGACTTCCCATCTCCAGAACTGTAGAGGATAAGTCATGTGCTACTTTTTTTTGATACCAAGAGTTGAACTCGGGACCTTGTTCGAGGCAGATGGTGGCACCACTGAGCTAAATCCCCGGCAGTCATGTGCTACTTTAAGCTTCTGGTATTTTGTTAGAACAACAGTAGGAAACTAATTCAGGCACATATTGATATTCAAATTCTGTAAAGCTTCTGTTAAGCACTTTTTACACAGCCAGCACAAACATATTCCTCATCATCTTCAGGTTCTGTATTTTAAACCCTTTTAACCTCTCTAAGGCTGTTACAGTGTTAGATCAATCACTGCTTTTCATTTTGGGTGGATTCCTCAGTCTGATGCAAATGGGAATTTATTAGCCCTGGTAACTGAAAGGCACAGTGGGTGGGAAACCTGGATGGGCACTGGCGGCGCTTCCTTGTGACTGTTGGCTCTGTTCTCTCCCCACTGTCAGCGTCATCCTTGGACTAGGGTCCACTCTCAAGATGACCACAGGGTACAACTGGGGCTGGGTGCTGCGACTGAACTATTCTGGCTCAAAGGACAGGAAGAGTTCCCAGAGCTGGTTAGTGTCCAGCAGTCTGTGACGGGGGTGGAGTCAATCTCAACCCCATTGCTTATTTACTTTACTCAGCATGGGAAAGGGAGCATTGTGAGTCCTCCCAGAAAGTCTGGGTATTAGGCAAGAGAAAGAGATTAATAACCAAGAGTCAGTTACAGCCAACAAAAAACACGTTATAATAATACTTTAAAATAACAGCTAAAAATGTTATGTGTAGAATGTTTTAATGATAAAATATTTTTCATTGCTATATGTCACCATCAAACATTCCAAGTTTTTTACATAATTCAAAGATATCTCGGAGTAAGTCTTCTAAGAAAGAGTTCACAGTCTTGGGGAAGGTGTCTTTCTCCTTTTTGCTGATTATAACACAGCAGCAATTTGGTGACCTATTTTACAGACCTGTGAGGATTTCTTCCATTCTAGTTCCAGATTCTTCATCATTCCCCATCATTAAGGCCTTAATTGCACTGAATTAGATTCTTAGTAAACTGTCTGACTTCCTCATATAAACATCTTTTTCATGTAATTATTATTTCAAGTATCTGTAATTAGCTACTTGGTTGCATAAGCAGATAAAGATGTTTAGTATTCATGATGGTTACAGATTTACACAAGCAGTCACAATTCAGAATCTTCGAAACTTGTAAAACTAAAATGTGCTTGTATCTTATGTATAAAACCAGGTATAATATTAACCAGTATATTGAATGCATTAAGAGGAAGGTAAAAATTTTTGTTGTTTTTTTTGGTGCCGGGCATCGAGCTCAGGTCCTTGCACTTGCGCAGCAGGTGGCAAAACCACTGAGCTAAATCCCCAGCCCTGGAGGAAGGTAAAAATTTTTAGAAAATCAAACATTTCTGTTTCCATAAGTAATGAGTGATGGTTAAATTTTGGTTACCTGACAGATTGCTCCAGGAATAATTGATAATTTTATAATTGCCTAATATTGTTAGCAATGAGTGGTTCTGTAAAGTGCTGTGGGAGATAGGATAAAGGATCCTTAGATATAGGGTTGAGGAATGCATTCTGCATACGTTTGTTATGTAAATTTTTGACATGGCTTTATGTAGTTTTTCATGAGTTACCTCTAGCAGAGCTTTGGCTCTTATGCTGGTGATATACAGCTATGGAAACTGCCCAAAAGATTTTTGCTATTGCTTTTCGTAGCAGAAAATGTCATGTTTACCTTTTCCTTGTCCTTTAAAAAAATTTTTTTTATTTTATATTGGATGAAATCTATGATCTTATGCAGAATTTAGAAGCATCGTTTGACTCTTTACCATAACTACAGCAGCCTCTGGGTTGAGTGACAAGGAGTAAGCAACCTGAATGAGAGACTGACCTCACACCACGGATGTGAATAGATTGGGAATAGACTGAGCCTGTGCATGCAGGTATTAAAGTTTCCCAGGCTCAGCCTATCCCAGCAAGCGTTCTTTCAGCTATAGTTTAACTTCAAGAAGATAAAAAAATAAAGTGTGACATGGTGGTAATCCCCACCACTTGGGAAGCTGAGGCAGGAGAATCGCAGGCTTGAGGCCAGCTTGGACTACTTGGGCTATATAGAGAGTTCATGAGCACCCTGAGCTACACAATGGGACACTGTCACAAAAAAAACAGATGACAAAAACTAAATAGCATGATATACTGTTCCCTGTTTTACTATAATCACTGAAGTCTGTAGCTGTTGGGTAGCAGTCGGACAGTGGCATGTCCCATTCAGAAGCATGTGGCGTGAGAGCTAGAGCTGTGTTCCGTAGCCCTTTCCTGTCCTCCTGGTGTACTGCAGGGTGGAGAAGGTCTCAGAGTCTGTGGGGTCTTCTGCTTTTTCTAACTGCCGCTGAGTCCAGTGAATAGAATACAATGGATCAGCAGTTTCCTGGTGACTTTTGCCAGGGCAGTGTGAAGCAACAAAGGTAAACAAATGAAAGGTCTACAGTGTAAGTGTAGAGTTGCGAGCAGTCATGGGGGTGGGGGTGCAGGGCCGGGATGTGGCTCAGTGGTGCCACACCTGCCTGGCAAGCACAGTGTCCTGAGTTCCATTCCTGGTACCAATAAAAAAGAGATTTGTGCTGGACCAAGGATGTAACTCTTGCTAGAGGCTTGCCCAGAGCGTGCTCGAGCCCAGCCCAGGGTTTGAGGCTCAGCACTGCAGAAGAAAAAAATATCTGCTGAAAATTTAGTCAGTATCTGCACAGAAGAATCACCCGGAAGCTCTGCAAAAGACTGCCTGTCTCCCAGAGATTGTGGTTCTGTTTCTCTGCAGAGGGCCGGTGGGTCTGTATTTGTGTAAGCTCCCAGGCGACTCTAAAGAGCAGCAGAGGTTGAGACCACTAAGTTAAAGAATTTGAACATCTTTAGAAAAAGAAATGGAATGCATAATGTAACAGGTACTGGTTACAAGCTGTCAGCACTGTCAGAAAAAGGTTATTAGGGCTCCTCTGAGGAAGTGAGTGTTACTAATCTAGTCTGAACTCTCGGGTTAGGTGAAGGGGAGGAACTAGACCCTGACGCAGTGCTCAGGTAGGAAATGAATGTTAATTGAATCTGTGGCTGAATGAAGAGCCGTGCACCATTGAAGACAACCAATGCTTAGTTCATATCAGAGAAATGAAAACTGTAGCTTATTTTTAAAAACTGCCAGGTAAAAGAAAAGGACAATGTCTTGTTCACTGAAGCCCTTTCACCATTCCAGCCCAGTTCACATTTATTAGCTTGTATCCTTCGTACATTTCAAACTACAATAGTGCTCATTGTCAAGAAAATCTTTTTTATCCCCAGTCACAGAAGAAATACTAGAACTAATAGTAGCCTGGTAGTAATATAGGATCAAGTTAGCATGAGAAATAATATCTTTGAAAGTATAGTCGTTTTGCCAGTTCAGATAAGTGGAGAAAAGGTGAGTTGTATAGTAAATGGTGTCAGGGGCCAGGGATTTAGCTCAGTGGTTCCACCGCCTGCCTCGCAAGTACAAAGACCCGAGTTCGATCTCCAGTACCAAAAAGCAAACAAACAAACAGTAAATGGTGTCAGGACAGTGGGATATCTGTTTGGAAAATGGAGCCACAGGAAATAAACTCTAGGTGGATAAAAGACTTAAATGCAGATCAAATGAGAATTTAGAAGACAACTCGGGATTTTTTTAATGTAATCTTGGAAGAGTGAAGGCCAAGTCTAGAAATTATAAAAGGAACTACTAAGCGGTAGTGTATTTTCATGAGTAAGAACCTAAACTCTGATTTCAGACCACCTGAGTTTGTTTCCATTTTTGCTTTTTATGGCTGTATGATGTTAGAACTAAAAATATCCATAAATGCCCAAAAAGATGTTTACTCAAGAAAATACATATAAAATGAGGAACTCTCTCTCATCTTTGGCCTCTCAAGTTGGCAAAATGTTACAGAAGAACTGCAGAGTGGGTGAGAAGAGCATTGCTTGCTCCTGTGTGGGTGGCGTATGTCAGTCAGTACAGCTCTTTTGGAGGGGAATCTTGAAGAGTAGCTGTTAAAAGAGCTGTCCTCTAACCCAACGCCCAGGTCCACAGATCTGTACAAGAGAAGTAACTATACACCTAGAACTACGCATGCACGAGTCTTGATACTGAGGCACTGGTTGAAGTAGCTAACAACTAATACTATAAGTGCTGATTAGTAAGAATTAACTTTTTGGCAATCAGTGAGAAAGCGATCCTTTTTTTGAAAATCCAGAGGTATCTACAATTTTACTGTGAAAACTACTGGCAACGGTTTTAGACAGTAGCCCCCCCCCCCAAATGATAGCTAGGTTGCTTTATATTAAGCAGTCATAGAGAATAACTGTTTTGTTTTGTTTGTTTTTTGAGACAGGGTCTCACGATGTAGTTCAGGCTGGCCTTGAACTCATTATATAACCCAGGCTGGCCTCCTACTTGTGGTGATCCTCCTGCCTCGACCTCCCAAGTGCTGGGGTTTCAAAAATGCCACAGCCAGCTAAAGAAGAGCTATTCTAACTAAAGATTTTTTTATATCCTTCTATTGAAAGCACATACCAACTTTTTTGCAGAATGGAAACAGACTGTAACCCCATGGAGCTGAGCAATATGTCAGGATTTGAAGAAGGCTCAGAGCTCAATGGTTTTGAAGGAACCGATGTGAAAGACATGAGACTGGAAGCAGAAGCCGTTGTAAACGATGTTCTCTTTGCTGTTAAGAACATGTTTGTCTCGAAGAGCCTGCGCTGTGCAGACGACGTGGCCTATATCAATGTGGAGACCAAGGAAAGGGACAGATACTGCCTGGAGCTCACGGAAGCAGGACTTAGGGTAACTCACTCTCCTTAGGGAAAAAAAATCTCTGCCACTTTGCGAAAAACAACCGGGGATTGGGGAGTGCGCTGGTCTTAAATGAAAACTGGACATTGGGGAGCTTCCAAAATTTATTTAAAGAAAACCTTTCCTTTCCTGGAAGTTTTTGTTAAGTTTTTGTGACAGGGTCTCACTATGTAGCCTAGGCCAGCCTCAAACTTGCCATGACCTTCCTGCCTCAGCCTCCCAAGTGCTGGGATTACAAGCGTGCACTGGCATGCCTGTCTGGTTTTTGTCAATTTTAAAGTCTTTTTTTTTTTAAGCAAAAGTATTTATTTATTTACTTTTTTTTTTTCCTAGTGCTGGGGCTTGAACCCAGGACTTCCTGCATGCTAGACAAGGGCTCCACCACTGAGCTACACCCTGGCCCAATTTTGAAATCTTTTCATCAGCATGGGGAAATTGAAGTTGTTCAGACAAATCCTGTTTGCAAGTTGTTATGTGCTTTATTCATCACCCACAAAATTTCTCATCTGCCGCTAAATGTGTCCACCCAATTTATGTCCTCTGCCGTCATGTGTTCATTCACACAGTCTGTGTCCGGCTCTCATCTCACAAATGTCTCTTCTATTAACACAAGACGCACGCTTGGCTCCCTGTTTTCCAGCTCTCAGATCAGAATTAAATCCGAGCAGAACATTCCACCCTGACATTTCCAGCAGTGTCCCCTGGCCCTTTATTGTGGGTATCTCTTATTATAAGTGAGCCTTTCTAGACAGAGAGGCCTTTGCATATTCTTTAAACCAGAATCTTAGCTTTAATAATAGAAAACAATGCCTGAGAGCAACTTTAAAAAGAAAAAGAAAACTTGTATTATGAAGAACTTATTGAACAAAGGGATAGCTATTAGAAAATCATTTTAACATTACTAACCAATCTTCGGTCTTGCTCAGAGACACGTGACTTTTCCTTGTACAGATAACCATAAGGTAAAGAGCAAGGCCTAAGAAAGTACGGACATCACATGATATTGTGTTAACAAATACATGGATTTCACTGATTCTCTTTGCTTCAGATGAGTCACAGGTGCTGGATGCTCCTTGAAAAAGCAGATTTCAAGGCCAGCATCTTTACTGCTCCCAGCCCCTCACAATTGTCACCTAGGTAGCTGCTTAGCTTCCAGACTCATACTTGAATTCACCAATTTTTATCCACTCCTTTCAAAAAAATCCTAATTTGTACTGAAAGCTGTAGGTTATCATATATAGAAATAGTTAAATCAAATTTAGAGGTCGGTGACTACAGTCAGTTTATTCTGTATCACATTGGCTAATTTTGAGGTGGCTCAGTTCTGGTAGATTCAGAAATCTTAGACATAGGTGATCTCGGGTGAGTCAGTTGCTCTGAGTCCCTGCTTCTTCATAACCTGGAAATGAGAAACTAAAAAGGATTTGGGGGATGACTGTAGAACTAAATGACCTAGAAAGACTTGGATCGGCCGTAAAACCTGGCATGTAGAGGTACTCGAACATTTGTCTTTCAGTCTGATTGCCGTAACATTTATTGAGCAGCTATCCTGTGTCAGCAGTTGGAATTGAAGCCATGAATAAGATGTGGTTGCTGTCCACCCGGAAGATCACAGTAGCAGGGATCAGAGAGGGCCAGACAGAGCTGTACTGCACAGAAGCAAGCTGGAGCAGCATGGAGCTAATGAGGTGCACTCATTTTCCTTGGGTGTCTGCCTCTGCTTTTCATTTAACAAGAAGTACTCAGCTTCTATTTCTAACATGAACTTGCATTTTCGATGACTTAAGTAGAAGTCATTGGACTGAGGCCGTAGTTCGGTGGTAACACGCTTGCATAGCATGTGCAAGGCCCAGGGTTCAATCCCCAGTACCAAAAAAAATAAGTAGTTGTTAAAACGTAAAATTTCTATAGGAAGTGTACAAGTTTTAGTCAAGTCAATAAAAGCTAAATTAATTCTGTCCTGTAGTATGCAGGTGAACCGTGATATATCTTATAATCTTGTTAGAAATAAAAGCTTTAGCTATGTTTTAAGGGAAAAAAGTCCCAGATTAACATTCCCTTTTATGTCATAGATTGAGCATTTGTTAGTATTAGGTGAAAGTGGCCTTTAACATTACTAATTATAAAGCTAAGTAGTTACTAAAACTAATAAACTAATTATTAAATATAAATGAAACTATTATCTATTAAAACGAATTAATTGTTAAAACTAAATTTCCAGGCATAATTTCTAGAATTCGTTATGAAAGAAGTTTAATGATAAAAATTATGAACTAATATTACCTGTTACAGCACCTTAATGTAGTAGACCCTCAGTGCATATATAAATAGGGTATAAATAGGGTAACAAATAGAGGTATGTTTTGTAATAGGAAAATGAAATACTGTTTTTGTATCAATTTTAAATTTCCTCTTGATCCCTCTTAAGAGCAGAAATGGGTAAATCAAACCTTTTACATTTTGAAGAAAGCATTCTACAGGAGCATTTTGCTAGTGGTTTTCCTGTATTATGTGTTATAAGTTTTGTAAATACAAAGGTTGTGTAACATGTGCCTGTTATGCCTGCCAGTTGAGGACCATTGACTCACTGTTACATTTCTCTCGCACAGGTGGTAGGGTACGCGTTTGACCAGGTAGAGGATCATCTGCAGATGCCCTACCACGAAACAGTCTACTCACTGTTGGACACGCTCAGCCCTGCCTACCGGGAAGCATTTGGAAATGCACTCCTCCAGAGATTGGAAGCTCTGAAAAGGGATGGACAGTCATGACTAAGCCTTTTCCTTTAGAGGGAGCTGCAGCTGGTATAGAATGTGGACATAAAACTTGAAATTCTTGCATACGATCATAGTAGAAAATGCACCTTTGGTTTTGTGTGCTTATCACTTGCTTCACATGTGGGCTTTTGACTCAGAATATTGACTAATGAGTTGTCTTAGTTTCTGATTCATTAAGGGAAGTTTGAGGCCATTACTATGATACCATCATTAAGACATTTAAATTTCTTCATTTGGATTCTCTGCATTTCAAAACCTAATCAGTATTTCATTCTCCTATTACAGGGCTTCAATGCTGCCAGCACTCTCTTTTACATAGGAAATTCTAGATTTGCACAGTAATATAGGAATTAGAATTACCTAACTTCAAACTTGGATTCAGCCTGCAATATCGGGTTTACTGCTAGCGTGGACTGACTTTGTAGTGATTATTTTGGTACTAGCCTTATTGGAAACGAACTATCAACGAGTTTCCCCTGCACAAATTTTGAAATTCACTGTTTCACCTCATCTATTTATATTACAAATATGGATTGAAAAGTGAATTACTTGCATATGATTAACTAGTGTTAAATGAAAAACAGGGACTGAAATAGTTCTGTATTATTTGCCACAACCAGCCAGCTAAGCAGAGAACAAACTGTTAGCAAATGAATGTAAAAATTACTCATTTCCAAGAGCTCTAAGCACATAACTAAGCACAGGGACAGGCTCCATCCTCAACAGAAAGCATCCTCAGTGTGCGAGACTGCAAAGGAAGAAGAGTCTGGTTTCCTAGAAAACAATATTCTGGCCTGTGTCGGTTCTTACTCCGAATGTCTGTTTACATAATGCACAGTCTATATTCAGAAAGTATTTTTGCTTCCACGTTTCCTTTCTATAATGTAGGGCTTGGTATTCCCACAGACCCTCCTCCCCGACAGACAGCGCTCTGCCTCCTGCGCTGCGTACAGTGTAATGTGAGTGTGCTGTGTGGGTTTCAGACCAAAGGATGAGTGAAGCATTCAGAAACTTCATATTTGGAAAAGAGATACTCTGTATTTTATATTTTATTACAGTACTGATATTTATAAGCTTAATAAACTTAACCACACTGCTGCATGTTCTCAAGTACATGTTGAACAGTACAGATTGAGAAGTTGTTTTCTTAATCACCGAAAGCAACTGCTTCAGAAATACTGAACCTGCAATTCTGCGCCCAGACACACCTTCATAAATTTGTCATCTACAGGTCCTTTTGTGATTATTTTTGGAAAATAGACATTTTTAGGCTCTGAGCTCCTTCGAGGGCTGGAAGTGCAGCTCGGTGGTGGAGGGCTTGCCTGGCATGTGCAAGCCCCTGGGCTCAGTCCCCAGCACAGGAAAGAAGAGAAACGATCAGGTAGAACAGAGCAAGCTGGAGTTCAGTTTGCATTGCTGTTCCTTGTTGCATCTCATTAGAACGCTTTCTGTTTGTTAACACGTTCTGTCTCAGCTTTGTTTTCAGATGCCCAACCCTTTGGGCAGTGAAGTCTAACCAGGTCGAACTTTCTCATGCTCAATCTCAGGCTAACTGTAAATGATATTTGTAAAGTTTGAATAAAATTCTGCTTATTCATATTTGAGTTAAGTATGAAGAAAAATCACTTGTAGCTGTAAAAATTGAAATTGTTTTGCGATAAATGATTGATTGCAAGAGCTCCTGTTTCCATGTTCTTAATTCTGCATGGTTATATTTTTATTTAGGGTGAAATGAGTTACTCTTTTCATTACTATATAAAACTGCACATTAAAAACTTCATTTTACCTGTATGTACTGTTTAAATAATTTAACCAGATAAATTGAGCCTTGATTTCACTTCTAAAGCAAAAAGAAAAAGCATCCTCAAGTCACAAATCAATAAGAAAAAAAATAAAATAAGAAAGAACAGTGAGCAAATAAGAGCTAGCAACTCCAAAAAAAAGATGTTCAGTGACTTAAAAGATGTTTTTTTAAAAGAGATAATTCTCATCATCCTTTATTTTTTCACGTTTTCTGCATTAGCTTGTGTGTACTAATTAATGGGGAATGTGGGGCTGGGGTGTAGTTCAGTGGGAGAGCTCACACTTAGCATGCGAGGGGTCCTAGCTTCAAACCCCAGCATCATACAGGAGAGGATGGGGGAGGGGTGCCGGAAGTGGGATTTGAGCTGAAGAGCATTTCTCTCCAGCAAAAGCGCCCAGCTGTTCTGAGCTGTATCTGCTCTAAGGCAGTGTGATTATGAAAGAGTACACACCTCACTCCGCATAGTGACACTTCCTCCCCTTTCCTTCCATTCATGACACGACCCACGTGGCCAGTCAACTGCTCAAGCTGTGCTTTCCACTCGCTTCCTCCGGCTCACACCGCACTGTTTCAGAAACAACCTGACGCCTGTTCAGAGAGAACAGTAGGAAAATAACTGACTGCAGTGTGCCTCCTGGGCTTTAGAACTCTCCCTTCAACCTCTTTTAGGAATGGCATCGCTGATGCTTGGGCGGATTGAGCAGCTTGCTCAGCAGCCCACTCAGCAGTAGAGTTGCATCAGGACTCTAGATGGCACACATTAAAAGCTGTTGCATGAATTTGTGGTTGTGTGAGACTGATTTGGAAAAAATAACAATGGAAAGATGCACTCGGTATAAAAGCATTAATTAATAGAGGCCTGGAGATACAGATCAAGTGGTAGAGGGTTTGCCTTGCTTCCATGAGATCTTGGGTTCAATCCCCAGGGCTATAAAAACAAATCTTACCTAACATGATGGGTGGGTAGATGATGGATGGATGGATAGATAGATGATAAAATCTGGAAACCACTTTGTAACTAAGGTGAGTTCATTTAACACTTAACAGAATGAAGGGGGGGGCAGCACTCTGGAGGCTGAGGCAGGAGGATCACTGTCAGTTCAAGGCCTGCCTCAACTACATAGCAAGACTGTCTCAAAAAAACAGTAAGAATGAAAGGCATTTTATTGTAGTTGATTAGCAGAATAATTTTCAAAGTATTTACCCAATTGCCTGTCAGGAATATAGACAGAAACTAGATTTGAAAATAAGGAATTAAGTTAATTTTAGAATATTCTAAAGTTATTTGAAAGAGTGCTGAAGTATATTTACTCCAAGTTTTGCCTGGTCTTCATGAATAGGTTCACACTTAAACTGATAGCACTTTCTTCTACTATGAGCAAACTGTTCCAAAATTGAGTTTGCAAAATTTCATTTTATCAAAATGAATGTTAATTAAGGCTCGTGTATAAAGAAAATGGGATGATGACAAAAAATAGAATTACTAGGGATGGAACCCACAGTTTCATGCCTACCAGACAAACGCTCTGCCACTGAGCTACATCTGCAAACTAGACGTGGACCTCAGCCTTGCTGGAACAGCCATAGTTTCACTTTGGAAGAGCACTTCAGAGGGTCTGTTCATGTGTCCTATTTAAGCCAATGTGATGGCCTAAGGAAGGTTAAAGGCCTGTCCTGGTGGCCCACAGGTGGCTTCAGAGCTGGAACTCAAAGCCAGATCTCAGTGCCCGACAGCCCAGAGCCACGCCACCTTCGTTTGTTTTGAAGCAACCAAGATTTTTAAAAAGCAAGAGGAGGAGAGTGGGAGAAAAGTCAAACAAGCAAAAAGAAAAAAAGCTGCATATGTTAAATGTTTACATATAACAAGTTAATATTTTAAAACATTTCAATCTAGTCAAACAGAATAACTGCAGAATATATTGATAGTCCCCCGCTGCCTTTGAGGCCCAGTGCTACAAAGTCGAATGCTGTTAAGTTCGCTGGTTTATTTCAGCAAAAATGAGTAATCTCATCAGGAAAAAGGATCAAGAAACTAAATTGTATCCCTCTGTGAACTTCAAGTGGATCTAGGGCGCAAGTACCCTTTCCGAAGGCCTCAGAGGTGGCCCCCAACCCACGCAGAAGCCTTTCTGGACTCCTCATCAAGGAGACCGCTAAGCCCGTGGAGCACTGTGGACTGGCTGCATAGCCGGGACCACTGGTGTGTTCCGGGGTACTGGGCCCCGAAACCATGGCAACTGCTTGACAGTGCCAAGTGGTCGGGGCTCAACACCGGCCCACAGAAGCTTGAGTAACTCCTCCCTCTGCTCAGGAGAGGCCTGGGCCGTGGGGCTCTGCCTTTTCATCGAGTGGACGCTGGGATGTGTTTCCAGAGTTCTGCAACAAAAGAGATGAAAGGGGACGGAGATCACATGACCCCCTGGGAGCGATGGAAGACGCATTCTCTCCGAGGCACGCATCAGGTAGCAGAGCAGTGAGATCCGGCTACGCTTGCAGCACCTTATGGAAAAGTGCTCACTGGAGCCCACGCAGCAGACTGCGCAAGGCCCGCGTTGGACCCGGGGTCTCTACCCGGTCCGGCAGCCCCGCCCTGAATCCTAGCCACGCCCCTGTCCGGCAGCCCCGCCCAGCGCTTGGGGCTCGCCCAGACGGGTGCGCCACGCCCACCTCCCGCGCCACGCCTCCCACGGCCGGGACCCCGCCTCCTTAGCAACGGGACAGGGTCACCTTAGCAACCAACGCCGCTCCCGTCATGGCTGAAAAGGAGGAAGTGGCCGCACGGACAGAGAAAGTTCTGCGGAGCCAGAGGGTGTTTATAAACCTGTTAGACACGTACAGCAGCGGAAACATCGGGAAGGTGAGTAGCGAGGCTCCAGTCGGACCCCGGCCCTCAGCTTCCAAGGCACTGCCTCCTGCCCGCCACCCCTTGAGGCGCAGTTCCAGGCTTCCTAAGGGAATTCCCAGTCCTGGGCATCGCCAGTGTCCCCGGACCCCGCTCCGCAACCCAGTGCTCCCTGGTGTTTGGAGATGGCGAATCCAGCCCTGGTTCCTCCTCTTTTAACGTAGCGAAACTCAGACTAAGCGGGAAAGGCCGTGCTCCAGAGCGCAGAAAGGGTTAGGGTGGGCCTGGCCTTCAGACTAGGCCTCCCGCCCCCCAGCCAATTCTTTCCACCCTGCCACCCGTCTGGAGCAGGCAACGGATGACAAAGTAAATCCAATGGCTGTCACTCGCGCAGCGTTTTTCATCCATCCAGCCCTTTTACTGAGCGTCTTTTGTGCACAGGCACTGAGTCCCGTGAAATCCTCACCCTCTTGCATCTTTAGCCCTGGACCGACCGTGCAAATATCCCAAAGGAGAACCCAGGGATCCTCATCCTTCGTTGCTCAAGCATCCGAAGAAAACGACCATAGTATCATTTCCCCTGGGTAGGAGCGACCCAGAATCTACCTCAGCCGAAAGAGCTCAGTGAGGCTCCTGACCGCACTTTGAAACTAGGCGGAGCTGCCTGAAGTAGGCCGCGGCTACGGTGTGTGCCTGAAGTACTGGTCTCCAAGGGCCGTGATAAGAAGTCGCTACAGCCGACCCGGGTGACTTCAAACAGCACAACTGAGTCTTTCACAGTGGCATGCGCACACGTGTGTGTGTGTGTGTGTGTGTGTGTGTGTGTGTTCTCCTGGGGATTGAACCACATTCAAAATAAGCTCTCTACCACTGAGCTACAGCTATAGCCCCAGCTAGCTTCTCTCTCTCTCCTCTCCTCTCCTCTCCTCTCCCCTCTTTCCCTCTCTTCCTTCTCTCTTTTGAGACAGAGTCTGGCTAAATTGCCCAGGCTGGCCTCAAACTCGAAGTCCTCCTGTCTCAGCCTCCTGAATAGCTGAGATGACAGGTGTAAGCCACTGGGCCCATGGTTCTTTAGGGCAAAAGTCCAAATTCCAGGTAACAGCCAGGCTGGTTCCTGCTGGAGCCTGGAGGATAGAAGCTGTGCCACTTTCCGCCCCGGCTTCTGGCATTTGCCAGCAGTTTGTGGCATCTCTTGAAAGACCCATCTAACCCGGCCTCCTCCTTCACATGATCTTTTGTGCTGTCTTTCCGCACTATTTCCCCTCTTCTTAGTAGGACTCCATGAATGAATTTAGGACCCACCCTAATCCAGTATGATTTCATTTCCGCTTGTCTGCATCTGCAATGACCCTATTTCCAAATTAGGCCACATTATAGGCTCCAGGAGGACTGGAATTGGGGCAGGGTGATGCTATTCAACCCAGTGCACCATCTAAAGTTCATTGGTCGATGATGGTTATATAATTTATATGTAAAAAGTTGTATATTTTATACAACTGTATGTGATATATAATCCATATTTTATACACACAGAGCATGGGACTCAAAACAAATGATACATCTTCCAAAATGCCAAAAAATATAAGAAAGAAAGGACAAGGGCACAAACAAAACTAAGTTATTTTTAAAGAAAGGGAGCAGTAGCTGGGGATTTAACTCAATGGTGCCACCCGTGCCTAAGTCACAAGCGTAAAGCCCTGAGTTTGATCCCCAGCACCAAAAAAGAAAAGGAGCATTAAGCTAGGCATAATGGTGCACACCTGTGATCCCAGCACTTGGGAGCCCAAGGCAGAAGGATTGCGGAGAGTTTGAGGCCAGCCTGGGCTACATAGTGAGTTCAAGACCAGCCTGGACTACATAGTGAGACCCTGTCTCAAGAAAACAAAACAGAACAAAACAAAACAAAAAAGGAAACATTAAAAAAGACAGGTACAGCCAAGGATTTAGCTCAGTGGTTCCACCGCCTGCCTCATAAGCACAAGGTCCCAAATTCGATCCCTGGTACAAAAAAAAAAAATACTATGCATGAAAAGACAGGTACATAAGCCAAAGATGATGGTCCACATCTATAATCCCAGCCCTCGAGAGGTTGAAACAGGAGGTTCTCTGCGAGCTTGAGGCCAGCCTGGGCTATGTAGTGAGTTCAAGTCCAGCCTGAACTACATAGTGAGACTCTGACTCAAACCCCTACTCTTCCAAAAATAAAAAAAGACAAATACAGGCTGGAAACATAGCTCAGTGGTAGAGAGCTTACTTAGCAGAGGTGCTGAGCATGCCCAGGGACCTGGGTTCAAGGACAAGTATAGGCTATCTTGTGTCTTTCAAAAAGAGATACAGATATTTACAGAAGCTAGATGATAGATCATCTATACACAAAACAATGTCTCAAACACAAGAAACTGCAAAGTCTTATCATCTCTGGACAGCAGAATTCACACATCTGTGAGTGCCTATTAAATGTCAGGCACTGTGTTCAGTACAAAGAACTACAGTAAATAAGAGAAGAAGTGATTGCTGCCCTCAAGCACCCTGGCTCTCCTGGAAGGAGCCAGACAGTAAGCAACATGTTAAGTAAGCACGCTATGTCAGTGTGTGCGAAGTGCGCTGAAGGACGGAGAGGGTGATGACAGCTGGGGAGAGGGCACTGGCTGGAAGGGCTCTCAGGAGAGCTGACATTCATCTGACAGGAGGGACAAGGACCAAGCCAGGGAAGCAGTTCCCAGGGGGCACAGCAAGGGCAGAGACTCTGAGGTGGAACAAGGTGCGTGGTTTCCAAGACCAGAGTGGCCGGATGCCAGGAAGCAGAACTTCCGGGGCTGACTTCCCTCGAAGCCATGGCAGCAGGCACCCTGCACACCCACCAGACATTTAGGGGGCTGCAAAAACTTGTTAGTTTCTCTTAAGATCAGGAGAAAACAAATGAAATTTAAGTGTCAAAGATTATGTTTGGCTTTATAGCATGCGATCATAAAATATAATTTTTTCTAATTTTTTGATGGAAGAAGGGGCCCACAAAAGTCAGTCGCAGTGTGACCCTGGTTTGGTTTGTATTCTGATTCTACAGAAGCCACTGGCCAGGGTACCCAAGGGAAGTGACATTTGGAGGTCAGGAATGGGGGACAAGAGAGACTTTAACTGCTCACCTTCTCCGTTTTGATCTCTGATTATGTGTTACAACCTAATATTTTTATAATAAAACCTTTGGATATTCAGAGATCTTTTTTAAAAGCTTCTCAATAATAGAACTTTCTGGTTAGTCTTTAATTAATGAGGGAATATCCAGGTAATTAATCTGTTATGTATACAAGCAACCTGGGAGCAGGAGTATGAAACGTATCAAAGAAATCTTGTTTTCAAGTGTACCACCCAGCTGGGCAATGGCACCCCAAGCCCCTTCTATCCCTCCCCCCTGCCCCTGTAAACTTGGGCAAGTTTCTTATTGCTGGCCCATCTGAACAATGGGATAGTAAAATTGAATATGCATGTATATTTGAGATTTCAATGAAAATATATATATACTTGGGGAAAATGTCTTTCAGCAAGAGATTGAAGTTGACAACTGTCCGTGCTAACTTGGATGATCTTTTTAAAAAAAAAGTGGAACTTTTTGTTTGGTTAATTTTCATTCCCAAGTGTACTAATGTCATGTTTAATGTATAAAGTAAAATAAAATGATTTTTCCTTATATATAAATGGAACTCTTAAATGTTGGATTGGCTACCTGCAAGGCTAGCTTTTGGAAAAACAAGAAGAGATACTTGGCTAACTTCATGGCTGTTATTCAGGGCAGTAGCCTCTGGCCACATGTGGCCATTGGTCACCTCCAGGTTTCCCAGTCCAAATGCAGAAGTTCTCTAAGTGTAAGTACATGCTGAATTTCAAAGACAGTATAAAAAGAAGAATGTGAATTATCCTTACAATTTTTATACTGTGTACATATTAAATTGATAAAATTTTTATATGTTGGATTAAATTTTAAAAACATCATTTAAATTAATTTCACCTGTTTCTTTTCAGGGTTTTTTTCATGCAGCTATTAGAAAATTTTGAATTACTGGGCTAAGGATGGAGCTCAGTGGTAGAATGCTTGCCTAGCAAGCACTAGGCCTTGGATTCAATCCCTAATACTACAAAAAGAAAAGGAAAATTTAAATCACCTAAGCAGTTCACAGTACAGTTCTTTTCTTTCCCTGTAGCAGTTTATTGAGGTTGACAGAGGGGTGGCAACGCACCATGACTTGCTCAGCTTAACCTGAGAGTTATGGTCCTTAGCTGTAGCTGCAGACTTACAGGGTTCCTTCCACTCTCTCTTTTACTGGTTTTACAGTTCAATGGGTTTCATTGTGGCAGATTCATACATACACATAACACACTCTGAACATTCTCACCCCCCCTCTTGTTTCATATCTTTGAGGAGTTTCATAATTTGTTTTGGTTTTGGTTTGGTTCGGTTTTTAGTTTTTTGAAACAAGGTCTTGCTATGTAGTTCATGCTGGCCTTGAACTCACTATGTAGACCAGGCTGGCCTCAAACTCCTGGTGATCCTCCTGCCTCAGCCTCTCAAGGGCTGGGACCACAGGCGTGCACCACCACATCTGGCTATCTTTGGGGAAGTTCAATGTATATAATGTATTTTGTCTAATCCTCTTCCCCCTTCCTAGTATTCCCTTCTTCGTGTCCAGTAATAATCTCCCTTCTACTTTCTTATCTTCTTTCTTATTCTTTTTTCAGATTCCACATATTAGGGAGAACATGAGATATTTGTCTTTCCGAGTCTGGGGTAGTTCACTCAACATGATGGTCTCCAGATCCATCCATTTTCTTGCAAATGACAGAATTTCATTCTTCCTTGTGGCTGAAAAATACTCCATGGTGTATATCTGCCACATTTTCTTTCTCCATTCGTCTGTTGATGGGCACCTAGACTGGTTCCATATCTTGGCTATTGGGAACTGTGCAGCAGTGAATGTGGATTTGCAAGCATGCCTACAGGATGCTGTCATACAAATTTCTGTATTTCAATTGGACAAGACAAATGTCCTCACTGGAGCCCAGCTCTGCCCCTTGCTACCGCAGGAAGTATCCTTAAATGAGCCCAAGTTGCTCGTCTGTAACGTGGGAAGCCGTAATGGTGCCCACTTCACATTGTGTGGGAACTAGACTGACTTAAATGCTTTGCCTGTGTGGCACTCCGCAAACCCTCAGTAAAGGGTAATTTTTAGAATCATCACTCATTGGTTGCCCTTATTCTGTTTGTTCTTAGTATTGGGGAAATCTGTTTTCTTGCAGTTCCTGGCCAGCTCTGTAGTTGGGGCTTCCCTTGAAGAAGTCACAGAAGAAGAGGAAGATGAAGATGAAAATAAGCCCACTGCCCCAGAAACCCTGTCAGCCAAGCAGAAGGAAGGCACATTCCAGATTGTGGGCACGCTATCCAAGCCCAAAAGCATCCAGCCAGACTTTGCCACAGAAATGTACAAGGTAAGTCCAGGTGGCTTTGCTAGGAGTGGACAAAAGGAAGAGTCCCTGTCTACTCTAGCACCTTCATAGTGTGTTTTCACTCTTAGATTCTCATTCCGTCTCTTCTGAAGACATGGCAGCAAAGGCAGGGCTGGGGACATGCTGTTCTCCTGTGACAAAAATTAATCATTGAACTTTTGAAGGCCGGCGTGGTGGCATATGCCTATAATCCCAGCGCTCAGGAGGGTGAGGCAGGAGCATCGCCATGTGTTTGAGGCCAGCCTGGATGACATAGTGAGTTTAAGGCCAGCCTGGACTACATAGTGAGATCCTGTCTCAAAGAAAAAGAGGAAAAATTTTGGCCACAGCAAAGAATTCAAAATTAGTCATTGTTTTAAAAAAAAAATGGTTCTAATTTTGATGTCTAGACTCACAAAATTCTTCTCTATGCTGTGCTTTAAAAATCTATCTGCATGACCCAAGACAACTCTGGGCCATGATGGCACCATCCAGGAAGGAGCAATATCCTTTGATAGTAAGCCACTCCGGAGCCAGATGTGGTCACTCACATTTATAATCCCAGACACCCAGAAGGTAAGGCTGGAGGATCACAAGGTCCAGGCCAGCCTGGGCAAGTTAGCAAGACCATCTAAAGAACAAAGGTTTTTTTTCCAGGGATCAAACTCAGGACCTTGTGCTTGTAAAGCAGACATGGTGCCACTGAGCTAAATCCCCAGCCCACTAATCTCAAAATTTTTTTAAATAATAAAAATTGCTGGGGATGTAACTCAGTGGTGGAACACCTCTGGTTTCAATCCTCAGTACCAAAAGAAAAGGTGGGGAAAGCACTCAGGAACAGCATACCATTATGTTGCTGTCTTATTAAGAAAGCCACCTCCACATGAAAAATTCTAAACAGCCAAAGCACTTAAACCCCTCTGGAAAGTTTGGCCCATCTACTCCTCTACCTAGCCTGCTTCTCTCTGGGCCTTCCATATAGCGTCTTATATTATGCTCCAGAACAGCCTTCCTTCTGCCTTCCTCACCCCACCAGTCCTGTTCGTCCTTCAAGATGTGACTCCTTACCCTTTAAATTTGTACAATTCTGTGTCAATTAAAAATAAAATATAAGCCAGCCATGGCGGTACATGGCTATAACCCCAGCATTTGAGGCTGAGGCAGGAGGATTGCCTCAAGTTCAAGGCTAGCCTGGGCATAATAATGATTCTTGATGCTATTTCTTTTTTTTTTTTTTTTTTGGTACCAGGTATCAAACTTGGGTCCTTGCACTTGCGCAGCAGGTGACGAAACCACTGAGCTAAATCCCCGGCCCATGGGCATAATAATGAGTTCAAAGATAGTATTCTGAACTACAAAGCAAGATCTTGACTTTAAAAAATAAAAATAATAATGGTAATAAAACTTGAAAATATTATTATTGTATAGTTCATCCTGCACTCACCCTCTACTGAAGCTGAAAACCATGGATTGCTTCGGGCTCCTTATTTACCTTGCCACCCACATCCCAGGGTCATGGGCACCTCCACCCATCTCTCCTTTCCATTTTTGTTGCCCTTTGCATTAGCTCAGATTGCCATTGAGTCTCTTACTGTTCAACCAGCTTGACTCAGTGAATGTGCATTAAGCACCCCAAGTACCCAGAGATGAACATAAAGCTCCCAGCCCAGCAAGGACTCTGCAGCAGAACCATGAATGTGACAACAGAAGGATGCATACAGTAGCACCCTGAGCACTCTGAAAGGGCCAGATGACAATTCTCAGTCTTGTCTATTGAACCAGGCAAATGATGCTTCACACTGCTTCCTGCCAAACAGATTGAGGACCCCTGAGCTCTTCAGATCCTTCAGTCCTAGAGCCACCTCCAGCAGGACAAAATTCTTACAATGGCCCTCCTTGAACAGGCTGTGATCTACTGAAGATACAGGAGGAAAGTGGGTTGAGGGAAATGTATGGAGTTCTCTGAAATAGAAGTCCCCAGTTCAGCTACAGCCTGGCCTACAGGGAGCCATGAGGAAGAAGTAAGAGTGGCAGAAAAGAGGAGGGTGCGATGAGGATGGAAAGCATTAGGTTTGTCCATGTTGTGAAAGGTGCATCTGTTTGGCCTAGCAAACCACCTGCAATTTCTTGGGCATCCTCACTGCCATGTGAGCTCATGTTTACCCTTCCAATGTCAACTCCTATGAGACATAATCACATCTCCCCTCTAGTTCACTGTACATCAAATGTACCTCTGTGATAGCCTGTTCCACATTTGGGGCTGCTGGGTAAGTGTCCACAGGTTGTGTACTATCGGAGGTGCTTGGCTAAGGGAGTGAGTGGGGCCTGTACAGCAGCCTATTCTGCTGGCTACACTATGCCCCAGAATGAAAATAGGTTACTGTTTTCTAATTTGTATAGAGGCCTTATATATGTTTAGTTGTTTCTTTGTCTAGTTCAGACTCTAATATTTTGCTAAAAGTTTTCTCCAAAACACACACACACACACACACACACACACACGCACACACACACACACTGTGCCTTAAAATCAAATATGATATATTATTTATTTTTATCTCTATCCACTGAGTGAAAAGCAGACCCACAAAAGTTTGTTATCAGATGAGTACATGAATGTGACACTCAGGGTGGGCAGGACAGTGATGTTCTTGAAAATGTTCCTGTTTCATCCTAAACAGATCTGACCATAATTTAATGAATGTGTATGATCTCCTCTTACTGGCTAGAATCATAGACGCTCTTTCTTTGTTTTCTTGGACCAAGTCTAAAACATACGTTTTGACTCCTCCTGTTCTCCAGTGTTCTTTCCTTCTCCATATGACATTCCCCAATCTCAATCCAACCCAGGGGTAACAGGAGGGTAATGTCCTCTCACATTATTGTGCTACTGATAAAGTAAACATTGATGTTTCTATCATCATCGGAGGATCTTCTTTCTTGAACATTCAACCCACAAAAGGACCTGACTAAGTGGATTAAATTGTGTCCTCAGAGGCTTGTCCTGGTGGCTCACACCTCTAATTCCAGCACTGGGGAGGCCGAGACAGGAGGACTGCTACAAGTTCCAGGCCAGCCTGGGCTACATAGTGAGTTCAGGGCCAGCTTGCACTACAGGGTGAAATCTTGTCTCAAAAAAACCCATTTTTTAAATTAAAAATAAAATTTGTTCTCTGAAAATAGAATATGTTGATGTTCTAGCCCATAATACTTCAGAACTTTATTTGGAGATAGGGTCTTTATAAGGAAATCAAGATAAAAGGTCATTAAGACGTGCCTGTAGGCCAATGTGACTGGTGTCCTCTTAAGGGGGGAAATTTGGACACAGCATACAGGGAGGATGGCACTTGAACATCAAATCAGAGATCAGATAATGCGTTCTACAAACCAAGGAACACAACCACCAAGGACCACAGAGGGATGAACAGATTCTCCCTCACACCCTTTGGAAGAAACCAAAGTTCCAGACACCTTAGTCTTGGACCTTTAGCCTCCAGAACAGAGACAACAAATTCCTGTGAGTTAAGCTGCTCAGTTTCTCGCACTTTGTTACAATGCAGATGAATGCAAAAAGACTTAAAGACAGAGCAGGAGAGGGCTGGGGGTTCAGCTCAGTGGCACTGCGCCTGCCTTACAAGTGCAAGGTCCTGAGTTCGATCCCCAGTACCAGGAGGAGGAGGGGACAGAGCAGGAGAAGCTAGTGTGTGCTATTGAATTGAACAAGAATGCATTTGCCTTTGCTATGCAGTCCAGTTGTTTAGTAAGATAACAATACCAAGTGGGATCTGAAAGGTTATGCTTTATCGAAAGTGGTCAGGGAACTCTGGGGAACATAGATGCTCAGGATGATGGGAATTCCAACAAGCACACAGCCTGGTTTGGAAATCTGAGATCCCTTTCTGATTATTTCAGTACACAACCATGGGACTGGCCCAGTGGGAGAGGCACTGGCCTCTTCAAGGCAAAGAGTGACTGGTTAAAACCCAGTGATCCCCAAAGCGACTTTTGTGCGATGTAAGAACATTACATTTTTAGACATTAAAAGTTCCCATCTTTCAAAAACATTCCCAAGTGTAGAGTGTAATAAGGTACCTTACACCCGCAGAGAGAACACATTCATTTCATCTTGTGGATTCCAAAATGATCCAAATGAATCACCCATCAGCGCTTCTCAGTGGTTCACGGTATGTAATTGCACCACTGATCTTGCAGGGAGTTTGAGTTAGTCTCAGCGCCTCACTCACTTTCCCCCAGTGTGGGAAACTTCCCTCCTGACCTGGCATTTACACAGCAAGCAGAGATATTATCTACCATCCTTTCCCAGTCCTTCAATCATCTATTTTCACAAACTTCCTTGTTATTAAAAAACTACACACAGAAGAGAGGCAAAATTTCCTTTTGAATAGAAATCTTTCTGCCAATGTTTTCCCTGGGACTCTTCCATGTAGTGTGTCTAATTGAGAAGTTGTCACTGTATCTAAATATTAAGGTTACCATGTTAGTTTCACGTCTCCAATGGCTGTCGCTTTTCTTTCCAGAACATCTCTCGAGCAGACCTTCTCCTGCGCCTGCTGGAGTGTGACACGATTATTTATAACATCACCGAGAGCCCAAAGCAAGCGGAGGAAGCCATGTGGGCTGTCTCTGGTCAGTGGGGTGTGCTTTTATCTCCAGGCACACTGGTTTTTTTGTTGTTGCTGTTCTTGTTGTTGTTTTGTTTTTTGAGGCAGGGTCTCCCTTTGTAGTTCAGGCTGACACTGAACTCTCTATTGTAGCCCAGGCTGGCTTCAAACTCATGGTGATCCTCCTGCCTCAGCCTCCCGAGTACTGGGATTACAGGCATGCACCGCCATGCCTGGCTTGGGACACTGTTTTTAATTGACTTTTTTCTTCTTTTGCCATGATCTGGAATAAACCCAGGGCCTCATGCATGCAAGGCAAAAGCTCTACACAGAGCTGCACCCCAGCCCCTTATTGAAACCTTATAACTGTAAGGTACGCTATTTGTGTGCAGTGATATGACTTCAAGACCTGAGAGGTTCTAACTTTAAGAATTGGATTCATTTCATTAAATTTTCCCTGGCGGCAAAGGTCCAGGTGGAGGGTAGAGAATGCTTGCATTTTGAAAATGCTTTGAAGAATGTGTGAACTCTAAGGACCTCAGATCTAAGAGAAAAAGGGAGGGTTTAGCAATTGGCTCATTTTGTGATTCATCTCCTCTTTAAGTCTGGAACAGAGGAAAGAGTGGGTCAACTAATTTGAATAATTATTTTAGACTGGGACAGCCAAAAAAAGACAAACAGCCCCTTGCATTTCAGTGACTGATTATTATTATTATTATTTTTTTTTTTGGTACCGGGGATCGAACTTCGGACCTTGCGCTTGCAAGGCAGGTGCTGGAACCACTGAGCTAAATCCCCGACCCACAGTGACTGATTTTTTGTTTGTTTGTTTGTTTGTTTGTTTTAGATGGATTAGTTCAGGGGTCAGCAAACTTTTCATGTAAAGGGGTAAGGTCAGTAAATATCTTTGACTTTGTGAACCATTGAATATGCCATTATGGGAGGAATGTAGCCATAAATAGCATGGAAATGGACAGATTGGGTTCCTGTAAATCTTTATTCACAAAGGCAGGCAGTACTTTGCTGACCCTTGAATTAGATGTACCACAAAACTGTATCTTGGTTTAAATTCAAAGAAATGGGACAGACCCCCAGTGATCACACTGTAATCAGGAAATGAAAACAGAAGAGTGCTGGGTGTGGGGGCGTGGGATTCCTCGGTGCTTAGGCACCTGTAATGATTCCTGTAATGATTCTGCTTTTTAATAAGAAAATAGTTCATTGTGAGTCAAATGTGGTGAACATGGCCCAGGAACATAGATTCGCATCTCCCTGGATGACATGTTTCACTGCAGAAGAGGTTACGAGACATTCTATAGTCACACAACAAAAGAAAACAGCAAGTCAGTACATTTACCAATCACAGGGTGAGATAGGTGAGCTACAGCAAGGTACGGAAATCTCTGCTATAGCATCACCCTGCTGTCTTAGCTCTCAAGCTGGTAGTGACCGGAAGCCTGTTAAGCTTAGAGATACATTCTGGGAAGCTTATCTATTCTTTATGAGAATATCGACCTGTAATCCCAGCACTCAGGAGGCTGAGGCAGGAGAATCACTGTGAGTTCAAGGCCAGCCTGAACTACATAGAAAGACCTTGTCTTAGAGAGAGAGAGAGAGAGAAGTTAAGAGAATTGACTATTAAAGGACCTAAGAGAGCCCAACCCACAACATTGATTCCGTCTCTCCCAAATCACCATATTCTACTAAGCTAAGGTCACACAGTCTGCAGTATCTTTAATGTAGATGTAGCTTTGTCAGAAAACTTCAGCTCACATTCCTCATTTAGAACTCTGTGCCTACATTTCATTCAGTAGGACAAATCCAAAATATACACACTGTGTCATCTTTTGGAACAGAACTTGGCTGAAGAAAACTTTCTGCATTTGTCCCTTTGGAAATGTTTACAGATGATGTAACCTAAAATAATTGGCACCGCTGTTTAATGAGCACTTATTTGTGCCAAGTTGTGAAAATTGATTTTTCACATGCTTACAACTTTCTTTAAATTTTTTATTTTTTTCTGAAATTCAACCTAGACGTTTTGAAAATTAAAAAGCAAAGTGGGACTTAAAGAGCAACAATTCCCTGCATTTTGGCTTCCTTTAAGCCAGCCTTAACTTAATATGTAAAGATGCCTGCACCTGGCTCAGGGGGTAACTGAGGTCAAGTGCTCACCCAGCGTGTGTGTGTGACCCTGGGCATGGTCCCCAGCACTTTGACAAACAAAAGACCCTACAAAAATTACCTTTTGCCAGTGTGGTGGTGCACGCCTATAATCCCAGCGTTCGGGAGGCTGAGGCGGGAGGATCCCCATGAATTCAAAGCCAGCCTGGGCTACATAGTAAGTTCAGGGCCAGTCTGAACTACACAGTGAAACCCTGTCTCAAAAAACAAACAAACAAAAAGACTATTGATTGTGGATTTCAGACACAGACCATTACCTGGCCCTTTCTTAGGACCACCCCATGGCCCTTCAAGGAATTTAATCATTTCTCCCACTTTGAAGTTGCACTTCCTTCAATTACCTTTAAATGTAGAATATGTTTTACTGCTATCTTCTTCACTCTGATAAAGACCTTTATGGAATTAAAAACACTTCACTCCTCTATTTGGAGGAAAGGTTTTAACTAAATTCATATTTGGGGTTTTGGATTTTTTTGTTTTTACTGTTGTTCTGTTTGGCTTTTGTTTTTGTGGTACTAGGAATTGAACCCAGCTCCACTGAGCGATATCCCCAACCCTTTTTACTTTTATTTTTAAATTTTGAGACTGGATCTCAATAAAGTGCTAAGTTGCCCGTGCTGGGTGCAAACTTTTGATCCTCCTGCCTCAGCCTCCAAGACTTTTGCATAGATCTACATCCCTAGGCCTTTTTATTTCTTTTTATTTTGAGATCGTCTCTGTAAATCTCTAAGTTGCTCAGGCTGGGCTCAAACTTTTGATCCTCCTGCCTCAGCCTCCCATGTGTGCCACCATGGCCAGCTCATATTATTTTTTAATAATTTTTTATTGAATTACTTAAAAATTCTTTTGAATTCTACCTTGGGAGGCTGAGGCAGAAGGACTGGCAAGCGTTTGAGGCCAGCCTAGGCTACCCATTGAGTTCAAGGCCAGTCTGAACTACATAGCGAGACCCTGTCTCAAAGGAAAAACATTTCTGCCTTACCTTTCATAGATACTGTGAAAAGAGGGCAAGGTGGCAAAGGAGAAAGGAACAAATTATTAGAAATGAGAAGAAGATATTTGCACACAGGGATAAGGGATGTGTCCAGAAGGGAAGCAAGCAGGCCATTTGGGGCCCGTCATAAACATCCTAAATCAAAAAGGACAACCCAGCCGGAGAGCTGGGAGTGTGTCAGGTATTTACAAAACAGGCCGCTCTGAAGTGCAGCAGAGCAGAAGTGAAATGAAATGGAAAAGACAATTTCATTAGGCTAAAAACAGACACTGGGCTCAACCTTCGAAGCAGGGTTAAAGTGTGCACACGGGCTGCTGAGACTGGGCCCGATGACCCCATCTCGGGCCGGGAAAGGACCCCTGCATGGATCACATTCTTTTCTGGAAGATCACACAACATGCAGAGTACTTTAGTAGACTCCCTTGTCAGACTCAGGCTACGAGGTTCGGTGCATTAAATGTGGGCAACCCGGACGGCGGCAAATACTCGCTCTGCTTCCTGTCAGCATCTGTTCTGCCTGCCAGCCCCTTATGGACATTCCTGCCAGGCACTCGGGAGTGTGAGGCAGGAGGATTGCCACAAGTTCAAGGGCAGCCTGGGAGATGTAATGAGTTCAAGGCCAGCCTGAACTACAGAGAGAGACTATGTCTCAAAGAGAAGAAAAAAAAAGCAAGCATTCCCACCCTCCTGTCTTCCCACTGCAGCCTGCAGTCCCTGGGGCACTGGCTGCTCTCCTGCCAGCCAGCCAGACTGGAAAAGGGGTCACCTCAGACTACCTCCCTCCACAGTGGCTTACACTGTACAGGCTGCCTTGCGGGAAGTCCTAAGAGGGCTTCGCTCAGCGGTTCAGTGTCTCTACCAGCCCCATCCAGCTGGACTGATGCCAAGTGGGGGCGGCACTGCATGGCCAGCAGGTGGCCTGGGTTGGACTATGTGCCCCACCGAGTCCCTCTCCCCAGGTTTCTGGGCAAACTGTGCCTCAGTTTCCCCTCTGTTGAAACATAATAGTAGCATCTGCCTCATAGCAGTGAGAGTTCAGTAAAGCCCTGGACTTGTCCCCATTCGTGTCACCAGCCCTCCAGGTCAGTGGGAGCCCTGGTAACAGGAAATCCTGAGGGAAGGGAGGTCATCAACTGACAGCCGTGGCCGAAACATAGGAAAGGTCTCCTGACCGTGGTCCCGAGTGAACCTTAAAACCTTGACCTAAACCCCTGGTGGCCTGCAGTCAGGTGCCATTGCCTCCTCTGTACAAATTAACTCTGGGGATGGCTAACCCCACCCAGTGCTGCTTCTCCTTGCACCGACCCTGTGCCTACTGCCCGCCCCTGTATCTGCGCCCCCAGAGCCTTCCTCTCCAGATGTCCTTGTGCAGACACCCTGGCTCTCAGGTCCCCCAGTCCTGTCCCTGCCACTCCCCAGCCTCACCGGGGAACTTACAGAGCTTGCTAAGGGCCCGGCCTTCTCCCACAGCTCATTCAAACCCTTTCATCTAGGGGACCTCTCGCTCCCCAGAGTATGGGCTTCACAGTTCATTGTCACAGGACAGGAAGTAGGAAGGGACTTTTGTATTAGCACACATTTGCAGCGCACAATGGTGACAGTCATCATGGGGAGTTGGTACATGTGCATAGCACATGGAATTCTTTTTACATCCCTTTCCCCCTCCTCCTTCCCTCCCTCCATCTCTGGATCCCCTCTCATTTGCAAAAGATCTATCTCCCTGTTTCCTATTATCTTTCATTTTTTTTATTTATACTTGGGGTTTCACATATAAGAGAAACCATATGACATTTAAACGTGTGTGTTTGATTTATTTCACTTAACTTTATGGTCTCAAGGTGCATCCATTTGCCTACAAATGACTCTAGTTTATCCTTCTTTAAGGCAGAGTAGTACTCCATTGTGTGTAAATACAGTACCACTTTTTCATCAGCAGCTAGAGGGAGGACGTGAAGGATCTGGTAGGGAGTAGGGAGGGCCATCAAAGCACCCGAGGGGACATCGCCCTGCTGCTCTTTGAAGAAGAACCTGGGGGCCACTGGTAACGAACAGCACACATGCTTTCAAAAGCAAGGTCCACGCGGATCCAAATAACCACTCTGCTCTCCTCCTCACAGCGTTGAATGAAGAAGTCAGCCACTTTGGGAAGCGCAAGGTGTTTATTTTAGTCTCCACGGTGATGACTTGGGCAAGATCCAAACCTCTGGACCCTGTAAGTAGCGCATTAGCTTTCTTCACGGAACGTTTCTCCCGTGGTACCTCAGGACCTGTGCCCAGAGGGGACGTCTACAGGGAGGGCACATCCGGCAGAGTTCGCAGTGCTGCCCGTTAAACCACGCATGCGGGAGGATCGCAGTGCTGTGGCCAAGGACCGGCCATGTGTATGAGCCCCTGAGGGGCTCTTTACAATCATATTTTCTTTATTAGTCCGTGTTGGCAGTACATAATGTTCGCATGTCTTGTGGGAGTTGACACATATACGTAACACATCTTAATTCCTTTTTTCATCCCCTTTCCCTCCCCTCCCTCCCCTCTCCATCTTGTTTTGTTTTGTTTTATGTACTAGGGATCTAATGCAGGACCTTGCATTTGCCAGGTAGGCACTCACACCAGAGCTACACTCCCGACCCTCCTTCTCCACCTGTTGACCGCCTTCCCATTTGAGAAAGATCTATCTCCCTACTTCCTATTATTTTTTATTTTGCTCTTTATTTACAATTTGGGCTTCTTATTTATGAGAAACCATGTGCTATATATGCTTGTGTGTCTGATTTATTTCACTGAACATTATGGTCTCAAGGAGCATCCATTTTCCTACAAATGAGTCAAGTTTATCCTTCTCTATGTCAGAGTAGTACTCCACTCTGTGTAAATACATTTTCTTTACCCACTCATCTGTTGATGGACATATGAGCCACTTGCAAGATTTGGCTATTGCAAGTTGTGCTGTTATAAACATGGGTATGCATGGATTATTGTAATATGATGTCTTTAATTCTTTCTGGAAGATACCTAGAAGGGGAATAGCTGAGTCAAATGGAATGGATACAAAACTACATAAAAATTAGTTCTGATATAAAAAAAGGGTGATCATTATAGAATGTTTTCATCTGTATTAATTTTAGTAAGTAGGAGAATCAATATTTGTGTTTTGTTTTTCTGTACTACCCATCTGGTTTTATTTATTTAGTTAGTTAGTTAGTTATTTTTATTTTGGTGGTACTGGGGATTGGCCTTTGCACCAAGCTATATACCTGGCCCATTTTCAATTTTTTTTTTTAATTTTGAGACAGGGTCTCACTAAGTCACTAAATTGCCCTTGCTGGGCTTGAACTTGCCACCCTTCTGCTTCAGCCTCCCAGAGTGCTAGGATTACAGGCATGTGTCACTGTCCAAACTAGATGGGTGTCTCACAAAGTGGAAGAATAAAATCATGGACAATGAAGGTAGTTCTGAGCAGTGTTTATTGGAATTATAAGAAGGGAGAAAGTTCCCAATAGTTAGGAAGGGTCCTGAAAAGGGTCGCTGAGTGGGCTCTGTATGCAGGGTCTTTTGTATGTAGGGCCAGGTCTCTGGCCATAACAGCTCAGGGTGGGCTTAGCCTATAGAATGTGGGTGTGGATGTCCATGCTTTAAATAAACAGAGCCCACAGGGGCCACGCACCAGTCACACAGTATCGGCCAGGCAGGACTCTTGCTGTGTAATTAGGGAGGTCAAAGCAAAAGGGAGCAGGAGGTCAGACGCAGTGGTCACTTCCCACATTTGCTTTTACATTCCTGAGCTTGGTGAGCCAGGCAGCTTGAACCCTGAACCGTGTGTATGTGCTGATTTCTTCCTAAAGTGACCAGCCTGGCTCCATTTTAGGTCCTGTGCCTCAGTGGCTACCTATTTATAAGCTAACTGGCTTGGCCCCCAGTGTTCTGGCTCCTTATGGGTGAATAAAGACGGGAAAGCAGAGGTGACCCTGATTCAACCAGACAGTCCAGAACAAGAAAGACCAATGGGCTGTCATCATCACAGATCACAGCCAGATAGAGTTAGAGTCCAGCATGTGACCCACTTGGGTGCTCAGACACTGTGAGGCCCCGGTTCTATCCCCAGCTCTGCAAAAATAAAAACTAAACTGCCTACATTTCAAGATTAAGAAATGGTTTATCTAACAGCTTTATGAACTCACAGTGATAACCTGCTACTTTCTCTACAAAATAAAAAAGACACTTAAACTTTTAATTTTGTTTAGATTGAATTTAAATTACAAATTTTGACTAGCTAAAACATTTTCAGGACAGCCAAATCTTTTATTAAAATAAGCAGTAGCTAGGTGTGGTGGCGCACACCTGTAATCCCACCACCCAGGAGGCTGAGCCAGGACAATTGCTGTGACTTTGAGTCTAGCCTGAGTTATACAGTGAGTTCAAGGCCAGCCTGAACTACAAGACCCTGTCTTAATTAATTGATTAATTAATTAACCAGTAGTGGACTGGAGATGTACTGCAGTAGTACAGTGCTTGCTTAGCATGCACAGGCCCTGGGCTCAATCCCCAGCACTGCAAAAGACAACACAAAATAAAATTGGCAGTAGCTTTTTGTTTTTGGTACTGGGGATCAAACTAGGATCCTTGCACTTGCACAGCAGGTGGCGAAACCACTGAGCTAAATCCCCCGCTCATGGCAATAGCTTTCTAAAATTTGTTTGGGGCTTTTAAAAATTTGTTTCAGACCCCGGGATTGAATGCAAGACCTTCACAGTGGGCTAATCCACCATGGTTCTTTAAAGTGACATATATTTTTTAATTTTTTAACTCGCACATACCAAGTACACATATTTATGGGGTACGTTTCAAGTCAGGTATGCACGTGTAGTGAAATCTCCCCCAGCTCAGGCACTTAGCATTGTTGTGTGTTGGGAATATCCGAAACCCTGTCTGTTGATTGGTTTGAAATATGCGCCTCAGCCTGAGTCGCCCCCCTGGGGAGCAGGGCTCTGGAGCTCCCCCGCCCGCCCAGTGTCAGGCCACTGCTGAAGGCTGAGAAGTCTCTCGGAGCTCTGCCCACCAGGGCTGCACCTTCTGTGTCTCGCAGGACGACTCCGAGGTCCCATTCACTGAAGAAGACTACCGGAGAAGAAAGAATCATCCGAATTTCTTGGACCACATAAATGCTGAGAAAACAGTCCTCAAATTTGGAAAAAATGTAAGTGTGGAGTCACAGGACAGTTTGGGGAGGGAAGGTCCTCTAAGGCCGAGTACATTGGCTCCTCATCTACTTTTACTCCATCCTAGTCAGGGTAATAAGTAGTTGACTGGTTTTTGTATTATGGCCCAGACTGCTCCCAGCATCACTTGCATCATTAAAACTCTTTAAACATCTCTTTGGCCAGACGTGGTGCCATGCGCCTATAATCCCAATCATCGGGAGGCTGAGGCAGGAGTACTGCTGCCAGTTGGAGGCCAGCCTGGGCTACATAGTGAGTTCAAGACAACCTGAACCACATAGGGAGACCCTGTCTCAAAAAACCAAAACAATGATAATGTTAAAATGTGAAAAATCTCTTTGTTTAGTTTCCTGGAAACTGCTATCCACAGGGCCACCCCTCGATGCCCTGTCCTGAGGAGTCGGGGCGGGGGGGAGGGGGGGTCTGCACTGCCCTCTGTGTGGGGTCCCCGCTGAGCTTGTTCCCCACAGACCAAGGGCTCCATGCATCCTCAGAACAAGCAAATAACTCAGAACCGGGATGGGAAGGAAGGGGTCCCCATTTCCTCTCTTCCCTGGGAAATGCACATTAACCTCATTGTACGAATCAGGAGACGGGGCTTGCGGAGGTTCCTCTGCACGGGGTCCCACAATCAGGCTTTCTGTGCACTGTCCCGAGCTCGTCGGTCTTGTCTGGGCTGCCCTGAGCAGTGACAGAGCGCATCACTGTCCCCAGACAAGGCGGGCATTGTGGGAGAGGCCGACTCATACCAAGCGGCACCAGTCACGGAAGCCCGTGGGTTCCATGCTTGTTATTTTCCCATTAGCGAGACCAACCTTGGCGTTGTGCAACAAAAGCTCCAGGGTGACACCTAGTGGTCCCAGGGGATATTACAACAGGAACTTTGTCCTCCCAAGTTACTATGGACTGTAAAAGACTTGTGCGATACAGTACAGCACTGCGAATATAAAATATTCGAGGAAAACAAGAGAGAATTAGGAATTCTAGATCATTTCCCATCCATTAAGTAACTCATTACCTCAGCCTAGGACTAAACTTTGGGGTCATGTCTGGGACCTATCCCCAGGGACTAGATATCTCAGGGGCGCTCTACCACTGAGCTACATCCCCGCCCACAACTTCTGGGATTGAAACACAAAATAAAGGGACCACACTAGATGGCCTGCATTTCTTCCTGTTTTGAATTCAGTAGTTATATTCTTTTGTTAAAATTCATGATTTGTTGAAGCCGGATATGGTGGTGCACACCTGTAATCCCAGCACTCCATTTATTTATTTAGCTTTTTAAAAGCAAAACCTTCATTGGTACATTTTAGGCATACATAATGGTTGCAGCCATCATAGGAAATTTGTACCTGTATAAGATATATCGTGCTTCTTTATTTCCTATTCACCCCTCCCTTTGATCACCTTCCCCTTCTTCCTTATTTACAAAAGCTTGGTCTCCACTTTTCCCTTTGATTATCTCTTTTTCTCTTGTCCCTTCTTTCCTTTCTTCCTCTCCTCTCCCTTGTTCCCCTTCTCATTTGAACACTTTCTTCCCATTTCCCAGTACCTATTATACATTTTGGTCCTTATTTCCACTTTTGGTTTCTCACACCAGAGAAACAATGCGATATTTAAACATATGTGTCTGATTTATCTCACTTAAGAGTATGGTCTTTAGGTACATCCAGTTAGCTAGAAATGTCTCAAGCTTGTCCTTCTTTATGGCAGAGTAGTACTCCATTGTACAAAAAACCATATCTTCTTTATCCATTTGTCAGTTGATGGCCATTTGAGGTGTTTTCAAACATGGGTGTCCATATATCGCTGTGGTGTGATGCTTTTAATTCCTTCGGGAAGATACCAAGAAGGGAAATAGCTGAATGGAATGGAACCTCTAGTTTTAGTTTTTGAGGTATCTCCATACTGATTTCCACAGTGGTTGCACCAGTCTACACTCCCACCAGCAGGGGAGCAGGATTCCTCTTTCCCCACAGCCCCACCAGCATTTGTTATTGGTTGATTTCTTGATAGCAGCCATTCTTTCTGGGGTGAGATGAAATCTCAGCGTTGTTTTCATTTGCATTTCTTAAATGATCAATGGTGTTTGAACATTTTTTCATATGTTTATTTGCCATTTATATTTCTTCATCTGAGAAATGTCTGTTCATTTCAGATGCCCATTTTTGGATTGGGTCTTTAAATTTGGGGGGGTCTGACTTTTTTGAGTCCTTTATGTATTCTAGACATTAATCCTTTTTCTGAGGAACAACTGGAAAAAATGTTTTCCTACATTGTGGGTTGTCTCTTAGCTCTGTTGGTGGTTTCTCTTGTAGTGCAGAAGCTTTTTAATAAGATGAGGTCCTGGTTGTTGGTTCTTTGTGCTAGTTCACATGCGACTGAGGTTTTGTTCATAAAATCTTTGCGTACAGCAATGCCATCAAGAGTTCTACCTATTCTGTCTTCCCGCAGACTTAGTGTTTCTGTCTTAACATTTAGGTCTTTGATCCACTTCGATTTTAGTTTAGTGCATGGTGAAAGATAGGGGTCTAGGTTTAATCTTTGGCAGGATGAAATCCAGTTTTGCTAGCACCATATATGAAAGAGGCTATCTTTCCTCCAGTGAGGATGGTTGGCTCCTTTGTCAAAGAGGAGGTGGCTGAGTGTGTCTGGAGTTGTTTCTGCATCTTCTAGTCTGTTCCCTTGATCCTCGGGTCTGATTTTTTGCCAGTAGCAACAGCACTCCTTTTAGGGTAAAGGACAAGTTTAATGTTTTTATAATAAAGATATTAGGATGACAACATTTCTCCATTTTAGATTTTCATTCACTTGAATCTGTTGTGTGTGTGATAATATATTTTTAACCAGTGAATTAAACATGATCAGCAAATTATGATTTTTTTTTAAAGACAGGGTCTCGCTATGTAGTTCAGGCTGGCCTTAAACTCACTATGTAGCCCAGGTTGGTTTTGAACTTGTGGCAATCCTCCTGCCTCAGCCTTCCAATTGCTGAGATACAAGCACACACTACCATGCCCAGCCCCAGTAATTTCTGATGCCCTTACAGTCTTCATGTTGTCTCAGTTCCACAAGACCTAACTCATAAAAGACACCGAGGTTTGTGCATTATGGCAGATTGGAATTGCAACTTTATGTGTATATTTTATTTATATCTGTGTACAATCAATCACTTTGAGGTATACTGTGTTTACCTCCTTGCAAGCAAGTACAGAATAGCCATTGGAAGGCATAGTAAAAATATAATCTTCATTAGCCTAAAATATTCAATATGTGCATCCCCAGGTTGCATTCTTTGATGACAGTAGCACATTAAAGAAAAAATAAATGTCTTCCCCAGAACATGGTGTGCAGGGCCCAAAAAGATTCAAATGTGGATCAAAGAAAAGAAAATCAAAAGAAAAGAGATTCAAATGTGGGACGTGGTTTCACAAAAATCCGAGCAAGACAACTGGTCATGGCCTTCTTATTCCTCCCTGCCTGTTGCTCCTCACTGCCTGTGTCAGTCACCAGAAGCAACTGTTCCGCAATTCCCTGACTGGAGGCCCAGTCCTCTGCATGGCCACTCCGGAGTCTTCTGCCTCCCTCTCTCCAAGGTCACTGGCCCCCCCAGGCAGAGGACACAGGGTGGACATCATCCCAAGTCTTGCTATAAGTAGTGGGCGTGAGCCGGGAGTAGTGGTGCATACTTGTAATCCTAGCACTCAGGAGGCTGAGGCAGGAGGATTGCTGTGAGTTCAAGGCCAGCCTGGCCAGCCTGAACTGCATTTCGAGACCCTGTCAAAAAAAAAAAAAACCCAAGCAGTGAGCGTGTGTGCACCCACTCACTCAAGCACAAGAGGAAGTGCTTGTACCCAGCCTACTCCCCACCCCCTGCCCCCGCTTAGTTCTTCACATCTTGTGCAAATCATAGCCAGAGGGTTCTAGAAGGGAAGAAATTCAAAACATCCCAAGACAAAACCATTCATCATTAAAATTTTTAAATGTTTTGTTGGGCACCGGGGATTCAGCTCAGAGGTTCCACTGCCTGTCTCACAAGCCCAAGGTCCAGAACAACCAAGGTTGGACCGAGTTTCCTCCTTAACCACTTTATCGGAGATGAGAGAAGCTATGTCTTCACTTTCCTGGCCTCCTGTACCCACATGTAAAATCTTTGGTCTCTCTTTTATTCCTTTTCTTTTGAAAGCTCCTTTCCTGCTGCCCAATTTCTCAGCTGTGCTCTCCAGCCAACCCCCACCTAAAAACTTGCCAGTGATCTGCAAAGCCATGAGGGGCTGTGGGATTTCAGCCATCGCTGTTAAAACCCTTTGAGAACCTTCTTTTGTCACTTTACTTGGAACAGCCAGGAAAAGCCAGGGGTCTGGGCCGCTTTGCTCACTGAGCCGCTGGCCCAGATGTAGGAGAATGTGGACCAGTTCTAGTGTGTGTTATCGATCTGTGGTTGTAACAAAATACCTGAGCTCATGAATTTATTAGGAAGAGAGACGTTGGCTCAGTGTTTCGGAGGTTTCGGTCCATGGCAGAGTGGCACAGTGTATCTCAGCGGGAGCGCCTGGCCTGTCATCCCAGGTGTGAGAGAGAGGAGGAGCCTGGGTCTCACATTCCTCTCAAGGGACCCCACCCACCCACGATGTGAGGACCTTGAACCAGGCCCCAGCTTTTAAAGCTTCTGTGCCCTCCCACCAGCATCAGGGTGAGGACCAAGCCTTTAACACATGGCCTTGGGGACATTCGGATCCAAACTACAGCTCAGTGACACAATTTCTCCTCAAAAGCTTCACTCAGTGACCTGGATTCTGCCAGGCTGTGGCGCTTCCCATCTCTGCTTGACCTCGATCCCCTTCATCCTTCCCTCCTTTGATTTACAGACATCCCACCCTCCCTCCAAAACTTTACCGACAGTGGTGGCGGTGAGGGTTTATTAACAATCCCACCTCAGGAGGCTGGGTGGACTGCTCAGGGGGAGAGGCTTTGCCTGACAAGGACAAAGGCCTGGATCCGCCAGCAGACACAAAATAAGCAAAACAGAGCAAGAAAATCCTCACTGCCCCAGCCACACTGTCCCAGGTGTGGAGGTGACTAATTGCACTCACATCTGCTCCGAAATCTTTCCTAGACAAGACTGAAGGCCCCGTCTAATCTGTCACGGGGCCTTCCGTCAGCAGTCCACAGAAGACATTGTGTCTCCCACTATACGAAGCTCTCTGGGTTTGCCTGTTTTGTTTAATTTTGTTTTATTTCTTGTCTTTCTTATTTTTATTGTGGTGACCTGCTGTGTTGCCAGGGAGTTTTAGGTTAAGCAATTTAATGGCCGCCCCGGTTAGTGGGGGAGGGCGGAGGAAGATGAATCAGCCTAAGGGTGTCCCTGAGTGTTTCTCCGCCTTAAACTTTTCCGAAAGGACATTCCCCCCAGTAGCCAGACCACGGTGATGAGGGTGAAAGACAGATAAATATTGAGGCAGAGTCTCCCAGGGCTTAAACCTTCCTCCAAATAAAATAAATGTTCGGCGTCAGCGGAAACCCTCCTATCCAGCCTGTTTCTCTGAGCTCACTTTATGTCCCTGTCGCTCCTGCTGGGAAATGACAGGCCCTGGGGCAGGACGTTTCTATAATCCCTTTCCCCTCCATGGCGGCATAGAGTTCACAGGTACTCAGTTTTCAACAAGCAACAGCTCTGGCTTTAATTTCATCAAGAGTCCCGATTAAACTCCCAGGATGGTCTGCGGTCTCCTGAGGGAACTGAGGGGTTGTTTACCCGCTTCCGAGACACTACTTCTGTCCTGAACACCCAACGTGTCTGAAAGAGTTGGTGCAACTCCCTGTGTGCTCCTGCAAACGACTGAAATAATCCAGTTTAATGTGACTGAGAATGTGATATTCAGCCTTTTTCTGTATTTTATCCAATAGACCAAAATGTTTGCAACTTATGTAGTCGCTGCAGGACTTCAGTACGGCATGGAAGGAGGCATCTTACACACATTTTTTAAGGTACAACTTTTCATTATATGGATTTTTTGGATACATATTTTACAGGGCTAAAAAACAAATAAATCAGCTTGGCAGCTTGGCAGCACACCCTGGTGATCGAAGTACTCAGGAGGCTGAGGCAGGAGGGTCGCTGTGAGTTCAAGCCCAGCCTGAACTGCATAGCAAGACTCTCTCAAAAAAAAGAACCAAAAAACTTTGATAATTACCTTTACCAGTAGGGTACTTCTAAAATTTAGTTCCTTTTATGACAAAAGACATGGATATGAAAGCATTTTCTCTCTATGTAGATGACATTCAGTTGACTGCTGACAGTAACTAATGAGATTATAGATGTCTGAAAGAGCATATCAGCCCTGAGGTAGCACTTTGTAAAAATCACTTTGAATATATATATATATGTCTGTCTGTCTGTCTGTCTGAGACAGGGTCTTGGTATGTAGCTCAGGCTGACCTTGAACTCACTGTGTAACTCAGGCTGGCCTCAAATTCTCAGAGATCCTCCTGCCTCAGCCTCCCAAGTATTGGATCACAGGCATGGGTCACCATGGCCCGCTTTACTAAATGTATTAACTGTTCATGTGAAGGGGCAGAGTGATACTTCCACATTTGTATACAGTGTGCACTGGTCCAATCCACCCTCATTTTTTCTGCCGTCTCCCCACTGCTGTCACTGAGGGTCCAGGGAGGTCCTCCAAAGAGGAGAAGGGGCCCTCCCTGGCCCACAGTAGTCCTTGACCTGTCACAGAAAGAACTGCAGGACTCATGGGTGAGAAGCATAGGCAGGTCTATCAAGCAGAAACAAATTCCTGCGCACAGAAAGGAGGAGGCGTTTGAGGGGTGGGGAGCCCTGGGGTCTGGGGTTGGGGGTATCTGTGTGGCCTCAGGGGGGTTGCCTCAAAATGGGCAGTCTGGGATGCTCATTTACTTCTCTGAGTTAGTAATCGGGCACCCAATGCCTGGTTCCTGAAAGTCAGGCTGCTCACTCTCCAGTGGGTTAGAGTAAAATCTGTTTTCAGCTAGGTTGCAACACAGCTGTCTGCGTGCATTTGAAGTCCTGAGACCACGGCCCAGTTAGCTCATACAGCTGAGTCCTGACAGTGGAAGTCCTTGGAGTGTGGATTCCTGCTAGAGCAGAAACACACAGGCCCCATCCATGGACTTACTGTACCCTTAAGACTTAGGAATTCAGAGTGAGGAGTTTGGTGGGGAAATAAACAGCCTGGGGGTGAAAAGGCTGCGTAGCCTTGGGAAACTGATTGCGCCTTGATGCTGCAATTTTCTGGAAAGTACAAATTTTTAAATTACAATTTCCTTGTCTCCTTTCTAACCTATCTTTATTTCTACCCTACTTCACTCCTAACCTCTGTTAATCACTACTCTACATTGAGATCAACTGTTTTCAGCTCCCAGGTATGAGGGAACACGGAGTCCACTGGTATGGGGGGTTTTTTGTTGTTTTTTGGTACCGGGAATTGAACTCAGGACCTCGCAATTGCCAGGCAGGCTAGATCCCCAGCCCTTATCTGGTGTTTCGGTTGCACTGTCTCCCCAAACAGGACTGGATCCTGATGTCTTCGGAACTGATGTTTGCAGCGCCAAGAGATTTCTCCTCAGACAGCTCCCCTGGCTCTGTTATGTGAGGACACAGGCCTGAGACAGACGCTTTGGCTTTTCTTTCTTTTAGCTTGCTTGGCTGGGTGACATCCCTGAGTTACCTGTTTTTGGAGACGGAACAAATGTGATTCCGACAATTCATGTCCTTGACCTGGCAGGGTAAGTGTTCTCCCAGAAATGCCCGCCTGTGTAGCTAAAAAAAAAAATTTTTTTTTGAGGCAAAGTGTCACTACGTAGTTCGGGGTGGCCTTGAACTCACTATGTGACCCAGGCTGACCTCGAACTTGCTACAATCCTCCTGCCTCAGTGTCCAAGTGCTGGGATTACAGCAGATCTATCTGTAAACTAATGTTTATTGAGCATCTACTCAGTGCTAAGGCCCTTACACCTATTGTTGCTTTTATTCCTCCTGACAACCCTGTGAAGAAGGTACTGGCAGTAAGTACTACTGTTATCTCCATTTTGCATCTGATGAAATAGTGTTCACCTAAAAGCTCCATGCTTTTTTGCTTTTTTGTTTTATTTTTGTTTTGCCAGGGCTGGAGGTGGAACCCCAGGCCTCCCATATGCTAGGCAAGTGCTCACCACTGAGCTACCCTGCCAGCCCCCAAAGCTAATGGCAAGACCAAGTTCATCCTTTAGAAACTCAGTCGGCAGAGCAACATTTGCAGGGAAGCAGAGCTTGGTATGAACCACCTGCAAGGACTTTGCTTCTTTCTCCTTTGCCCCAGCTGAGACTGTGATGTTAGCCTACCCACTGCGATTCCAGAAATCTGATAGCCAACTGGAGATCTAAAGCTCCCCCTCCCCACACTCGGAGATAAAGTTGTATTGATGGAAAATAACAATCCTGCCTTTAAGGAAGTAGCAAGCAGTGGGTGGCTGTGGGTTCAGGTTGCTCTGCTGTGGCGGAGGCGGGTGAGCTATTACAGCCAGAGAACAGAGAGAGACATCAGCCAACATGCCAGTGACCACAGGGGAGAGGCATTGGGTAGGCAGGGAAGCAGGGGGATCTCTTCAGGGGACCTGATGTTATCTCACAGCATTTTCTCAGCTTCAAGGTCAGAGGAGGCCGATGGCTGGCTGAGCTTAACAATGCATTCTAGGAGGTTTACGTAATTCTTAGTAATTCTTAATTCGTCACAGGAATCCCAGGGTCAGATACAGAGGTGAAAAGTAAACTGCTACTTTTCTAAAGGGCCTAAAATAGCTCAAGATAATTTCTCTCCGGCCCAGCCACATTCCACCTCTCTATCATGCGCTCTAAGGAGCTGAGGGCTGAGCAGTCTGTAGGGCTGCAGCATGTGTGTGGCTCCTTTGGAGAAGCCCAGTGTTGCGGGTGACCCGTGGGTGCGCAGGCACAGAAGAGGCAGGGCCTCAGGCTCCCAGAGCAGCCTGACTCCGAAGCCAGGTCATGGAGCCAGGTCCCTGTGTTGGAACTGGGTCAGCAGCTCGGGTCCCTGGGGCTTTGTTCCCTCACCTTGGGCTCAGCCTCAGGAGGAAGCTGAGACACACTTCCCAAGGGACTGGCTTCTACTCATCCAGGGCCCCCTGGTAGCTAGTCACGGGCCCACACATTTACCAGTTCACCTGGAAACAAGCAAAGCTCAATCTTCAGCCCTGCTTGATGCCTTGAAGGCCCTGAACCTAATGGTTACTACTGTTTTAAGGATGGATCTTTTAAATTAAATAAGTTTTGGACCACATTAAACCTTAGACTCCTTCAGCCAACATTAACTGTGGGGATGAAGGGGCCAAGATGTGCCCTTCTACCAGACCTGGTGGTGCACACCTATAATCCCAGCACTCGGGAAGCTGAGGCAGGAGGACTGCTATGAGTTCCAGGCTAGCTCAGGCTACATAGTGAGACTCTGTTCCAAAAATCAAAAATAAATAAATAAGCTAAATGTGCCTTTCTTTCTGCAGAGATTTTACCTTAGGTTACCAGGTTTTAAAGATATAAAGGAGTCTTACATTCTTAAAACAAAATGTTTATCTTTAGTCCCAAACAGAGAAGTTAGAGTGGAATAGTTCCCATTATGGAAAGACTTGAGACCCTTTTCAGTAACATTTTTTTTTTCTTCCTAGAGGTTTCTTTGAAAATTGTCAAATATGTAAGAAAGAAGCTAAAAGTTAAAGCGTCCTGAGAAAATAATATAAAATAAACATGATGGCTAGGCCTAGCATGCATGAGGCCTTGGGTTCAATCCCCAGCACCACCAAAAATTCATAAATTAAAATAGTAAAACAAACACCGATTATTACTTTTTTCTTTTTTGGTGCTGGGAAAGGACCCCGGAGCCATGCACATGCTAGGGAGGCACCCAGCCACTCAGCCACATCAGCCCTGAAGTGAACACACAGAGGAATGCACTTCCGTTTCATTTCACTGACAAGGAAACGAATGTGGGGGAGCCAGACCATTGGGAAAGACACCCCCCCACCCCCCGCCCCGTTTCTCCCTGGAATCCTTTGCTCTGCACATCGGCCCTGCCTCTCAGCAGAGCTGTGTGAATTCAGGAAACTCGCTCCACGTCTGAGTCTGATTTTCTCCTTTATAAATAGGGAAAATCATAGTAATTACCTCACGGTGTCCTTGTGTGTATTTGATGGAATAGCACTGCAGCCCTTGCTGCTGTCCCGGCAGGGGGCTGAACATTCAGAGAGGTTGACAATCATTAACTCAGAAGAGGAAATCTCGGGCGCCCGTACTGTGCTGTGCATGAGCTCACTGAAAGCTGGAACTTCTCGGAATCTGTGACTCACTTGGGGGGACTCCTGCCCCAAGGGCACCTGTGAGACTCCAGGAGCCCCAGCTGGGCAGGGTGTCATCACTCACAGCCTTGCAGGGCCCAGTCATGGCGTTGCAAGGGGTGCGGTGCACAGGAAAGACATCAGGATGGGGACCATTGCCTCAGTTTTCCCAACAGCTCTTCAGCCTGACAAATGGCACTTAACTCCTCCACACCTTCCTAATTTACAGTCCAGATTAGATCCCTTCCTTGATCTTATTGACAATTAAGTGAGATACCATTAAAACACCAAACACCAGCTGTGGAGGCTGAGGCAGGAGAATTGCTGCAAGTTTGAGGCCATCCTGGGCTACATAGGGAGACTCTGTCTCAAATAGAGGGATGGATGGATAGATAGAGAGATAGATATGAGAGAGAGAGAGAGACCAAACACCGATGCTTGCTCTGAGGAGGAGGAATACGGTGAGTTCTAATTCATCGCCTCTCTTTGCTGCTTCCCTGGGGTGGTTATTTTCCCTGCTGCTCTGCAGAGTGATACAGAACATCATTGACCATGTGCCGAAGCACCGCTATCTGGTCGCCGTGGACGAGTCTGCTCACACCCTGGAGGACCTGATCAAGGTACGGTGGCCCACTGCATCCCATACTCAGATGGCGCAGCTGAACGTTACCTCAAAACTCTGGTGGTGGAATCAGCTGTGCTAATCAAACTGGGGCCCCTTAAAGTAGGATGTCCCGCACACTCAAACTACCAGTTTACAGTATTTGCAGCTGTACACTTCAGGAAATTCCTACGGGCCACCTTTTCTCCAGGATCCACGCCAAGGGAGATAAAAGAGGCCACTCTGAGGGCCCGATTGGCCCCTCAGACGCACAAGGGGCAGCCTGGACTCGGTGTGATCGAAAAACACAGTGAATGATTAAGGATTTTAAAAACTACTAAAGTAAAAGACAAACTGCTGTTAAAACTCCTCAAAAAAAACCTCCTCAAAATCCTCCCCCTTGCTTCAAACACACTTAGTCCATCCCTTTTGCCACTTTCTGAAGCAGCTCCAGACGTCCTCTTTGGTCAGTGTCTCTAGTTGCACTGCCATGGCTACCTTAATGTCCTCAATCAATTAAAAACATTTACCTTTCATGGTCATTTTGACTTTGGGGAAGAGCCAGAAGTCACTTGGTACCAAATCTGGTGAAAAGGGTACATGAGGACAGAGGGTCGTGATTTCACAATCCTGCCTTTCTTTCTGATGGTATTTGTCAGCAGCATTCACCATATTTTTCATCACACCTCCTAAAGACCCTCAAGAAAGAGGACTTCCAGAGCTGCTTCAGAAAGTGGCAAGAACAGTGGGATTGGTGTGTTGGACATGACGGAATATTTGGAGGGGTACTCGAATATTTTGAGGGGTACTCGTAGCAGTGTGTCTTTTACTGTAAAAGAATATTAAGCAGTCACTGTACATTTTGATCCCACTGTGTAACATTAAAATGTGTCTGACTCTCCCCTCAAAGCACTGACACATGAGACTCACTAGGCCTCCTGGCTGCTCCCTGGCATCCCTGGGAGCTTCCTCTCCCAGGTCTTGTAGCCTAGCAATGGGGCCTGCTCCTGCCCTGCCAGGGCTGCTCCCACCCACCTTTAAGGTGCAGCTGGGCCTCTTCCTGTGCCCCTTCCTTCCACATTCCCAGAATGCCTTTCAGGAGCTGCAATGAAATCCCACAGGTAGCTCCTGGGGCTGGGAAGATCTGGTGACCAGCACGGGGCACTTCAGATTCAGACTTCACAGTCATCACCTTCTCTCTGTCCTCACACTAATCTCATTCAAGGGTGATGACTCCACCGTTGTAACCTCCCCACTCCCCACTTCTGACATTGTCGCCTTGGGGGTCAGGATTTCAACAGAAGAATGGGGCAGTGCAAACATTGAGACTGTCAATAGACAAAATTACAAGTGTTTTATAAGCATCAATTAAGGCAGCTTCCATTCTAAAAACAGAATGAGAGCTCCCAAAGAGGACAAAGACAGAGCCAGGTGTGGTGGTGCACATCTGTAATCTCAGCACTTGGAAGGCTGAGGCAGGAGGATCGCTGCAAGTTTAAGGCCAGACTGGGCTATAGAGCGAGACTCTGTCTCAAAAAATAAATAAATAAATAAAAATTTAAAAAGTAAAAAGACCCAAAGTCCCAGAATGCCCCCTGCTGAGCTGCACACACTCCACATGATAATTGCCTGTGTCCATCTGTCTCCTTTCTCAAACTGGGAGCTCCTCGAGGACAGAGCCAGGCCTTACTCATCTCTTTCCCAGCATATTTCTGGAACAAATGAATACCCTCAGCACACTCCTCTACTTTCCAAATGCTACGGTCTTTACATTCAGTACCGTTCACATTGTTCCAGAAGCTTTCCACAAAATCTTACAGGTAAGCCAAATAACGCCTCTCTTTTTTCTTACCAGTTCATCAGTAGAAGTACCGGGCCAGGCAAGATCCAGAAAGTACCCAGAGAAAACGCATTCCTAATCAAGGAGCTAACTGTGAGTATATAAGCATTTTTAGACTCTTCCTAAATATGGCTGATTCTGGAGGATTTGGATCAGAATGTTTGGCTTCCAGCTCCATACCCTGGGCCAATTACTCTTCATCCAGCCTGTTTTCTTTTGTGGAAAACTCTCAGAAAATAGATCTGAAAGCTGTGAAGGGAGAACGGCTCTGCACACAGCAGGTATTGATCTCCAGCCTTTTCCTGACCGAGAGCCCCATTGTATCTCTGGGAGGTGGGCAAAGCCCCTAGGTTGTAGCTTTGTGGTGAGCGCTTTATGTTTGTTTTAGGGTGTGATTCTTCTCAAAGACATGGTGTCTAAATGCTGCACTTGAATGTTTCGTAGAGACTGATACCATGGGTTGTTGCTGAGGAGCAGAACTGGGTGGGTGGTGTGTGTTACTGGTAATTGAGCCCAGGGCCTTTGCAATGAACTACATCCCTGGCCCTTTTTCTTTCTTTCCTTCTTTTTTCCTTTTTGGATTTTTGAGACAGGATCTCACTATGCAGTTTAGGCTGGCCTTGAACTCACCATAATGAGTTCAGCTACATATAGCCAGGCTGGCCTCAAACTCACAGCAATCTTCCTGCCTCAGCCTCCTGAATGCTGGGATTACAGGCATGCACCACCATACCCAGATTTTTCTTTTCTTCTGTTTTGTTTTGTTTTGTTTCTGAGACAGGGTCTCCCTATATAGTTTGGGCTGGCCTTGAACTCACTATGTAGTCCACTTTGGCCTTGAACTCAAGGCAATCCTCCTGCCTCAGCCTCCTGAGTGCTGGGATTATAGATGTGCACCATGACACCCGTCTTTTTATTTACTTATTTATTTATCTATTTTTATATTGAGACGAGGTCTCACTAAAATCACATTATATAGGCTAGGCTCAAATTTGCAGTCCTCCTGCCTCAGCTTCCCAGAGTGCTAGGATTTCAGATGTGTGCCATCACCACAAGGTACTTACTGTTTTGGACCATAGGACTGCATTGTTCAAAAAGTAGATGCTGTATGTATTTTCTAAACAGGGCCCGGGGTGTAGCTCAGTGGTAGATACTTGGCATCAAAAGCAGAAAAAGAAAGAGAGAAAGAGGAGAGAGAGAGAGAGAGAGAGAGGGAGAGAGAGAGAGAGAGAGAGGAGAAAGAAAGAAAGGAAGGAAGACAGACAAGAAAAGAGAAAATATCACAATAAGTACCCTGTAAATAGCCAGCACTGGGGTGATTTTCGTCTTTAGTGGATGCACATTGATTGCTTTTCCATGATAACAGCGAAAACGAAACAAAAGTGACAAATTGCTCATTTCCTTTCCTTCTCAGCAAGAGAATGTTGACCACTTACTGGTCAGTCTGAGGATGGAAGCGCTCTTCGTGAAGGAGAATTTCAACATCCGATGGGTGGCGCGGAGTGGATTCGTGGAAAATGTGAACAACATCCTCAAAGAGTACAAGCAGAGCAGAGGCCTGCTGGTAACTATCACCTGCCCCTGCACCCACTTCAAGCAAAGTAAACGCACCTCGCCTGTGTGCAGTTACACCAGCGAAAGCATTTTCCTTTTCCAAACATCCAAACTTTTAATTTCATTTTTAAAACTTGACAAATCTGTCCAGGTCTGATCATCTACATGGACATGTTATGCTACATGCTACATGTTATGCTAACACTTGTCAATCAAAACTTAAAATTTTTTAAATAAGCCGGGCATGGTGGTGTATGCCTGTAATCCGAATACTTGGGAGGCTGAGGCAGGAGGATCACCTCGAGTTTGAGGCCAGCTTTGCCTATATTGTGAGTTCAAGGCCAGCCTGAACTACATAGCAAGACCCTGTCACCAAAAAAAAAAAAAAAAAAAATTAAGTCAGCATTGATAATAACTGCTGTGCAAACCGAACAGGATAGTAAGCTCAAGACGGATTGCTATAGTTACCAACATAAGTGAAATTACCCAGGTGCCTCCCTACCTGTGGGGACACCTGTGGGAGAAGTACGGAGGAGATCAAAGAAGTCTGACTGCTACTTTGATCTTTCTACTGGCCAGGGGATTTACTGGCTGTTTTAATCAACACAACCTTTCAAGGTAGGTATTTTTTTTAAAGTTAATCAGCAAATAAAAATTGTATATATTTATCATGTACACCAGGATGGCTTTTTAGGGCTTAATTTATTGATTTTTTAAGTGCTAGGGATTGAACCCAAGGTCTTGCTTGGCACTGAGCTAATACCCCAGTGCTTCTTATTTGTTTGTTTTGAGACAAGGTCTCACTAAATTGCCCAGCATGGGCTTTAACTTGGGATCCTCCTGCCTCAGCCTCCCAGAGTGCTGAGATCACACTGTGTACTATCATGCCCTCTGTCCACCATGCTGTTTTGAAATATGTATACATTCGTTGTGAAATGGTTAAATGAAGTTAATTAACATACGAACTGCCTCACATATCTTTTTTTGAGGTGAAAGGTAGGCTAGAATTCTTTTGTGCAAAATCAATTTTTAAGGGAGATATTCTTATCTCCACATTATGGATGAGGAAACGAGCTCAGAGAGATGAAATAACTCCTTCAAAGGTACACGGCTACTCACGGGCACAAACATAAATGCAGGCCTAGCGAGAACGCCCACCCTCCCCTGTGAAATCAGAACAGTGCAGCCCTGCTCGGCTTCTAAAGACGACAGTGGGTCATCCAGGAAAAGTGTTTTGAAACCGTACAGCGGCCGTAATCGCAGTGACCACTGTGCCCGAAAGTGCTCCCTGGGCCAAGCGTGTCCCCAGCGTGTCCGCAGAAGCGCAGCGTCTTGGGCAGCAGCCCTGGTTCCGACCAGGCAGCCCCTCAGCCGGGCCACGGCGGCCTCTCCCAGCCCGCGCTACCCTCTCTGGGCCCGGGCCGCTCCTGTCCTCCGCCGTGAGCGGGTTCACCCCACTGGCCAGGCTCCCCGAAGCCGGGGTCCACCCCGTGTGTGGGCAGAAGCAGGGACCTGGGGCAGGGCAGGGGCACTGCCGCCAGCCAGGCCTCACCACCTCCCAGCCGGGCCAGAGGGGCTGGCGCTGCTCTCCCAGGCCCGCTTCGGGCCTGCTTCCTCCGTGCTCCGCCTCGGTCTCCTGTCCGTGGTGGCGGGGGCGATGCTAACCACTGGCCGCTGAACCCAGTGCCTTCCCGCTGTGCTGCACCTGCCTGTTCTGCTTGATTTTGACACAGCGTCTCTCGGTTGCCCAGCTGTCCAGGCTAGCCTCAAACTTGCAATTTTTTGCCTCAGCCTCTCAAGTATATCACTGGTTATGAATGCCACAAAATTTATTTAACATTGAAGCACCGTTTCAGCAGAAATGCTGTTTTTTAAAAATCAGAGGTGGGGGGCGGGGATTTCGCTCGGGGATTTCGCTCAGTGGTTTCGCCGCCTGCCTCACAAGCACAAGGTCCCAAGTTCGATCCCCGGTACAAAAAAAAAAAAAAAAATCAGAGTAAGTTAACTATGTTAAAAATAATTAAATCAGACCGGGCTTGGTGGCGCATGCCTATAACCCCAGCACTTGAGAGGCTGAGGCAGGAGGATCACTGTGAGTTTGAGGCCAGCTGGACTACATAGTGAGACCCTGTCTCTAAGGAAAGAAGGGGTGAGGGTAACAGCCCTGAGACTGACGGGCACACCCCTGAAGTGAATACACTTAGCACTATGGACCCACTGTTCAGAACGCATCATAAGCCCCTTCTGCTCTCTCGCAGCCCATTAAGATTTGCATCCTGGGTCCTCCTGCGGTGGGAAAATCCAGCATAGCAGAAGAGCTGTCCAAGTACTACAAACTCCATCATATTAAAATGAAGGATGTGATTGCTGAAGCCATAGCGAAGCTGGTAACACCATACTGGGAATTTTCACATTTAAAAAATGCTTTTCTTGGTCTTGTAATAAGCAAGCAACCAATGTCACATGTCAGAGAGATTTCCAATTCTCATTGCACTTTCCCGCTGGCCCCCGGTTATGAAGACACGGGACCCCACGGGGCTCTCCTTGCTGAGACAGAACTGCTTCTCCTGCCTCGGCCTTGAAGTGCAGTCCCCACCAGCTTTTCTTCAGAAGTATCTTGTCCTCTCCCTGTTGATGGGAACGCTTCTAACTGCTTTTATTCCTGTTTGCTTGTTTGGAGAGAGTCTCACTGTGTAGTTCAGCTGGCTTTGAACTCACTGTGTAGCCCAGGCTGGCCTCGAAGTCATGCAGGTCTTCCTGCCTCAGCCTCCCAAGTGCTGGGACTACAGCTCTATGATTTTATTCTTGCTGCGTGTTTCTCGGGGTATTATCCGCACGTTAACTGTCTTTCCTTGTTTCGTTGAGAATGACGGGTGCTGAGGTGCATTTCCATAAATGAGTACTGAACTTTTTGGAGTGCTGAGTATTGAACCTATGTCCTTACACCACTGGGCTATACCTTCTACCTAAAGGTGTTGATTTCTAGAAAAGACATTCCCTTCGAGAAAGATACAACCTAGAACCTTAGAAAAGTGTGGATTCTTAAGCAGTTCGGGCATTGGCTCAGAAACATATTATTCTAAAAGCAGAGTAAAGAACCTTGAGGTTTTCCTCCATCTCTGCAGAAACACATGCCCCGCAAACCGTGTGGGGGACTGAACCAGGGCCTTGGTACTGAGCAACATCCCAGTCCTTTTTTTGATTGAGATAGGGTCTCACTAAATTGCCCAGGCTGGGCTGGAACTTAGGTCCTCCTGCCTCAGCCTCCCAGAGTGCTGGGATTACAGGCTGCACCACCACACCCGGCCCCGTAACTTGTACATGATGATGGTCACTGGGTCCCTTTGGGCCGGGCTTCCTTGTGTGCCAGGCAGTTGGTGAGTCTCGAGTGGATGAGGGCTGCTCCCCAGTCTGAACCCCTGTGGCCTGCAGGAGGCGATTGTTGCCCCCAAAGACAGAGGGGAGGAGGATGAAGGTGATGAGGAAGAGGAGGAGGAGAACGTGGAGGACGCTCAGGAGCTGCTGGATGGCATCAAGGAGAGCATGGAAAAGAACGCAGGTAGCACAGGTGCAGAGGGCCGGGCGGGCGGTGAGGATCGGGGTTTCCGCAAGGTCTGGTTATGAAAGACAGCTGCTTCCTGAGAGAGCACAGCAGCAGTGAGAACAGCAAAGGGATTGCCTCTGTGAGAGACAGAGACAGAGGGAGAGACAAGGGCTCCCTCGTGGGCCTCCCCAGTGACACAATCACAGGCGTGACTGCACCCTTGTTGATAGTTTGGTGACTGCCTGGTGTAGGATAGGAAAGAATCAGTTAAATTTGAAAAAAGAGGGCCAGGCATGGTGCACACCTATAATCCCCGGCACAGGGAAGGCTGAGGCAGGAGGATCACCTCGAGTTTGAGGCCAGCTTGGGCTGCACAGTGAGTTCAAGGCCAGCCTGAACTGCATAGCAAGACCCTGTCTCAAAAAAAGCAAGCAAAACTATTCTGATCTTAGAGGACCTGACAGAGTCCTGGCCCTCGCTTTCCGTTCCGTGATGGGGACACAGTGTAAGGGACCCTGAGAATAGGCTATGTGGGAAAGAACAAGCAGGAACAGCTGCGAGATGTGAATCCACAGCGGTGTGTGGGCCAGAGACAGGCACTGGGGACAGCAGCTGACAGCAGGGTGCCAAGGGCACGTGTGACTCACGACAGAGACCCCCGCAGTGGGCTTCCCAGGATTGGATCGAGCCGAGGCCTCAGTGTGAGCCTCGGAGAGCGCTCCTGACACCAGGCAGGGGCTTCGAGGAACCCACCTGAGCACAGACGTGGCCCTCTGTCCCCAACACTGAGTCGCCATGTCCAGTCGTCCCGAGGCACAAGAGAGGCCACGCAAGTCAGGCAGGAGACAGGGGGAGAGGGGGAGAGGGGAGGCAGCTTGGGGGAGGTGAAGTGTTTTTCCCACCCGACACCTGCCCACTTCCTGAGAAGTCATCCAGTCTCCCTTGAACTTTACTCATCTATTTATTTGTTGTTTGTTTTGTCTCCTATGAGACAGGGTCTCACTACATAGTGCAGCCTGGCCCTGAGCGCACTCCATAGCCTCAAACGCGTAGCAACTCTCCCGCCTCAGCCTCCCGAGTGCTGGGATCATAGGTGTGTGCCACCATGCCTGTAACTTTAGGAAGATACTTTCTTTTTTAAGTTTGTCCCAAAACTCTTTCAATTCAGTGTTTACCTGACATTGAACCTGCACTTTGATTATGTTGGAGCAAAACAAGACCTTTGCACCCTCTGCAGGGACAAGTGCAGGGGACACTCAGCGGCAGTGAGCTCACATGGCTTTGTTTGTTTGGATGTGGCCACGAAGAAGACTGTGGCAGCACAAGTGTCACATCCGCAGTGAGGCACCACCCTCCTGACAGCGCAGCCTCAGGAACAAGAGCTTTGTTCAACTGAGAGCACATGGGTCCCAGACTCTCCAGGCTCGTGCCATATCTTCCCATCTGTCTGTCTGTCTCTCTCTTTCTCTCTCCCTATCTCCCCCCCACACTAGGGACTGAACCTGAGCTTTGCCCTGAGCTGCATCTCCAGACACCCACTCCCCCACCTTTTTCTTTTTCTTGAAACACGGTCTCAGTAAATTGCCCAAGCTGGGCTCCACCTTGCAATCCCCCTGCCTCAGCCTCCCGAGTGCTGAGATTACAGGCATGCACCACCATGCCCAGCACACTACTCTGGGATGTGTGTGTACGTAGACATACCACATGCTCTTCATCCATTCCCCCACTCACCCATGGCAGGAGCTTCAGGTTGCTTCCATGTCTTGGCCGTTGTGAATATTGTTGATGAACACAGGGATGTAAATATCTGTAGAAGGTGACGATTCACCTCCTTTTGTTATATATCCAGGAGAGAAATTGCTGGGCCCGATGGTAGTTCTATTTTCAATTTATTATTTTCCTTCCTGCCTGCCTCCTCCTCCCAGCTCGCTCTTTCTTTCTTTCTTTCTTTCTTTCTTTCTTTCTTTCTTTCTTTCCTTCTTTTTGTGACAGGGTCTCAGAATGTTGCCAGGCTGGCCTTGAACTCAGGATCCTCCCACCTCAGCCTCCTCTGTAGCCCAAATTACAGTCATATGCCACCCACCTTGACTATTTAAAATTCCTTTAGGAAACTTCGTACCATTTTCCATAAAGGCTGCACCTCCTCTCTGCTTAAAGAAAAAAAAAAAATGAATACACATGGCCCTGCTGGAGAGACTTTAAAATGTTTTTTAAAGAACTTTAGCTGGGTGTGGTGGTGGTGAAGCATGCCTGTAATCCCAACCCTCAGGAGGCTGAGGCAGGAGGATTGCCACAAGTTTGAGGCCAGCCTGAACTACAGAGTAAGACCCTGTCTCAAACAAAAGAAAGAAAAGGAAAAAAGCAGGGACAATGGAATACTATTCAATCTTGAAAAAAGAGGCAATCCCCCCATTTGCCCAGCATGGATGGACCAGGAGGATGTGAAATAAGGCAGACATGGAAAGAAACTATTCTGTGTGGACTGTATCTTCAAGAGAGGTAAAGTGCACAAGATTTAGAGAATAACATCGTGGTTACAGCAGGTGAGACGATGAGAGCGAGGTGCAGGTGGGGAGGTGGAGGTTAAAGGGTGCCAAACAGCAGATGGGACGAAAAGTCTGCAGATGCTATGGACAACGCAAGGGCTAAGAGAGCAAAGCTGTACTACAGTAGGGCTTTGTGTTAAATAGACCTTAGCTGCTCTTGTCACAGAAAGAGTAACTGCAGGGGCAGACGTGCTCATCTGCTTCGCTATGGTAACCCCGCCTTCTCAGCCACGTGGATCCACGGCACCCAGTGTACAAGTAGCCTTTGCCTTAAAAAGTCAAGCAGAAGCAGTTGCCAGCCACAGAACTGCACCTTGGCCCAAGGTCCTGGATTAGCTCTAGGGAGGCCAGTTTTCTCGAGAAAGGGCCTTGGGCATGGTCCACCCTGCCTGCAAGGTGTACTTAGCAACAACCCGGCTGAGAGGACCCGCTTACAGGGCCCAGTTACCTTCAAACCAAGCAGACAAGGCTCGGTGCCTGAAATAAATCCAGAGATGTGTGAACGGGGACCTCGGTTTGATTTGATTGTGCAACGCTGCCTCAACAGAACCTTTGAAAAATGAAAATAGACGGCATAAATGAAACCAGTCTTTGAATATTCGTGATTCTCCTGATACTTTTTGGTTGGTTTTGTTTCTCTGTACTACTTCCTGGGAGGTGGTGCAAAGCCATGTGGAGGAATCGCTTTATGCTAAACACCACCTTGGATTGTTTTTCTGTTTCAGCTATAATGTTAAAGTTTCTGGAAGACCCAATTATTATCTGAACCCTTCACTGCCTAATGATCTGTGACACTGAAAAGAGGGAGAAAGGAAAGTTTTAATTAGGTCATTTTATTGTAATAAGGTGATAAAGAGACCAAAATGTCTTGATTTTTTTTTTTTGCTTAAATTCTTTTATTGGTACATTTTAGGTATACAATACGTTTACATTTATCATTGGGTGTTTGTGCCTGTACATGATGTATCTTGGTTATTTTTTCCCCATTACCTGTGCACCCTTCACCCCCTCCACCCTTCCCTATATACAAAGACTTTGTTTCCTTTTTTTTTTCTTTTCTCATAATTTTTCCTTTCTATTCTTTCCTTTCCCTATCTCCTCCCTCCACCCCAACCCCTTTGGACCTTTTCCTATTTCAAAGTATCAATTATTCATTTTAATCATTTTAATCCTTATTTACACTTTCAGTTTCTCACACTAGAGAAACTATTTGGTATTTACACATGTGTGTCCTATTTATTTCACTTAAGAGGATGGCCTCAGTATGCATCCATTTAGCTATAAATTTCTCTAGTTTCTCATTCTTTATGGCCGAGTAGTACTCCATTTTATAAAAAAAACAAACACATCTTCTTTATCCAGTTTCCATTTGATGGGCATTTGGGCTGTTTCCAGGCTTTAGCTATTACGAACTGTGCCACTATAAACATGGGTGCACATGTATCGCTGTATGATTCTTTTAATTCTTTTGGGAAGATCCCCAGCAGGGGAATAGCTGGGTCAAATGGGACCTCCAGCCCTAGTTCTTTGAGGTATCTCCATACTGATTTCCACAGTGGTTGCACCAGTCTGCACTCCCACCAGCAGTGGAGCAGGGTTCCTCTTTCCCCACAGCCCCGCCAGCATTTGTTATTGGTGGATTTCATGATAGCAGCCATTCTTTCTGGGGTGAGGTGGAATCTCAGCATTGTTTTCATCTGCATCTCTCGAATGACCAGTGATGCTGAACATTTTTTCATATGTTTATTTGCTGCTCTTGATTTTGCGTCTGAGATTCCGTGATTGGCAAGCTGCACGTGACAGCTGTTCAAATAGCGATGACAGAAAGCTAGCTGGGGACCGTGCTGGCGCTGCAGTGTCCTTAGTTCAGGAGCAGAACCCTCCCTTCTCAACCTCTCCGAGCAATTTCCAGGAACCAGTGTCCTGGGTTTTCCGGGGAACTGTCTAATAGTTGAGGTCAGAAATGCCAAATGGGAAAGATGGGGAAAGTGGGGCTGGGGCGGGGCACATCCTTTGAGAGTCAGGTTAAGTTTAACTTTATTTATTTACGTATTTATTTTGGAGGATTTTCTTTCTTTTTCTTTTTTTGGTACCGGGGATCGAACTCGGGTCCTTGAGCTTGCGCAGCAGGCGGCGAACCCACTGAGCTAAATCCCCCGCCCTACGTATTTATTTTTATTAGTCACGTTTGCCGCCCACAATGATTACATTCCTCGTCGGGGGTTGGTACATGTACATAACACATCTGAATTCTTTTTACTCCCCTTCTCCTCTCCTCCCTCCCCATCTCTCCATTTCTTGGGCCCCTGCCAAGTTTGTTATTCAGATCCAGAAAACATTTACTGAACACTTAAAAAAAATGTTTTTTGCAGCACTGGCGATTGAACCCAGGCCCTTTGCACTGAGCTACGCACCCAACCCCCATCCAACCTGGGTCCCTGCTCACACTAAGCCCATGTACTGTCACTGAGCTACACCCCTAACCCGGGCACCTACTTTTCTTAGCTCATGTATTGGCAACATGAATATTATTGTTACCCTGGTCTGGATGCTGTGGGCTCCTCCTAGAGATTCCAGGTTCTTGTCCTGAACAAAGAGTTGGACAGGAAAGAGCTTACAGTGGTCACGCCTTCCATTCAACGTCAGATCTGGGCTGTTCTATCAAATGCCTGCTTGCTTTCATGCCTCAAGAATTGAAGGTAGCTGTCTCTGATTGGTTCTGGGTGCTGGGCTTGCCAGCAAGTGTCCTGGATCTCTATGATTGACAAGATCACACCCACTGCCAGATGGCTGGCCATACCCTAATCTCCTGCCTCACTATTTTAATTCTCACAATAGAATCATTTAACAGGTAGTCTGAGTGCTCTGCATTATTCTGCTTGCTCCTGATCAGCATCGCCCAGAGCTTGTCCTCACAGTACATCTTGTCATTCAGACAGCAGAACTGTGCTCCTGTCCTTCCTCCTAGACCAGCTCCTTGGATTTTCCTCTAACATTTGCTAGAACTCATGGTCACGTTCAAAATACTAAACTATGTATTTTTAATTTTAAATGCAAAATAGAGTTTCCAGTAATAACTTTGGCTGTACTACAGCTTTTGTGATAAGTTTAGAACATAAACTGTATATACAATGTGCTCCATAGTGTTATCTTTTTCCTTTTTATCAGGTGAGCTAGAAGATCAATATATAATTCGATTTGTGAAAGAAAAGCTAAAATCCATGCCTTGTAGGAATCAAGGTTACATCTTGGATGGATTCCCAAAGACCTATGATCAAGCAAAAGACCTGTTCAATCGTAAGTTTGAATGTTCACTATGTTTTGATCTTATGTAAGTTACAACTTTATTGTGCAGAGAAATATTCATTCAATTAAATAAACAAAATGTTGGAGAGAATTTTTGTGTCTGTTGTGGCAAAGCTGCACAGCTCAGTGATATAGCCAAGTGTTACATCTCCGTGTCGCAGCTCTCACAATTTGAAGACTGCAGAGTCTGAAGGTCACTCTAAGAGATGAAGAAAAACCTTTACTATACTGGCAGGCTCAGAGGAGTTTGTACTGTGAAGTCTGAGCCCGGAGTTACAGAACATTCCTGAAAGGGGCAGAGCTAACAGAACATTCCTGAAAGGTCACACAGTTCAAACAGTTACAAACCATTTTGATACATTGAGCAGGAGTAAGCTGCCCAGCATCACAAACTGTAACATTTCTGGAACAAAACATTTTGTGGAAAAATACATGGAGGCAAGACAAGGGCAAGGCAAGAGCCTATCTTCTTGTGTATTGTTGCTCTAGCATCTTCACTCATCTTTATTAGATGTATAGATTTAAATTTTTAATTTTATTTTGTTATAGCATGAACACAATGTGAGATTTACCCTCTTAATCTTGTTTGTTTATTTGTTTGTTTGAGACAGGGTCTTGAACTCATGGCCTGCCAAATATTGGGATGACAGGTGTGCACCAGCATACCTGGCTCAGCCTCTTAAATTTTTAAGTACACAACATTATTGTTGACTCAATGTACTGTAATATTCAACTCTCTAAAGCATATTCATTTTGCTGGACTAAAAGTTCATGCCATTTATTTGTAATTCTCCTTTCCCGTGTACCCCAGCCCCAGGAAATCACCATCTACTCTTCCAGTCAATGAATTTGACTGTTAAGATACCTGCTGTCAGTGGAATCATGCAATACTTGTTCTGTGACTGGCTTGTTTCATCAACAGGCTGTTCTCAAAGTTTATCCATGTTGTCCAATGTGGCAGAATTTCCTTTTTTAAGGCTGAATAGTATGCCATCATAGATACATGTGTATTACTTTTAAATTTTTATTCATTTACTTATTTATTTATTGTGGTACAGGGGACTGGATGCAGGGCCTTCACACTGAGCTACATCTCAAGCCTTTTTTTATTTCTTATTTTGCAATAGGGTCTCACTAACTCACTAAGTTGTGAATTTTCAGTTCTCCTGCCTCAGCTTCCTAGAGTGCTGGGATTGTTGGTCTGTGCCTCCATATCTGGCTTCTACATTTTCTTCATCTATTCATATGTTGCTGGATGTGGAGGTTGTGAGACTATTGCTGAACTACAAGTTCTGTTCATTGCTAGTTTTCTTTAGTGATTGCTAGATAAGATATAGTATCTGAATTTTTGCTATGGCTGGTATGTTAATAAATACATCTATGTATATTTTTTTATTAGAGGAAGATGAAGAAGAGGAAGATGAAATCAGAGGCAAAATATTTCCTGTTGATAAATTAATTTTACCTGGTAAATTTAAGATTTTTCTCCCAGATCACATTTAAAGTAATGCTATTCTGTGTCTCTTTTTCTTTTCATTTATTCTCTTTTTTTGTATTATCATATATGTATATTATTTCTATATTTACATTTATAAGCCAATGTTTAATTACACACGATTTGTCCTACGTGCCAGCAATACAAAGTGTTGCATTTACACCACCAAAACCAAAGAAATTGGTGAGTCCAATACACCTTTTATCAGTTTTCCATCCTTGTGCCTTTAGTGGAACATAATTGAAATCAAATTCTGGTTCTGTACAATCCAGGTTTAAAATAGGTGGCAGTTTTCAATGACAACAAGCCAGTTCAGTAAAAGTGGCCTTGACCATGCCTGCAGCACCCAGAAAATGTCCTGTGACTCCCTTTGTTGAGGAAACTGCAAGGGCATATGCATGGTCTTTGAAGAGATGGTTTTTGTGTGTGTATGTGTGTGTGTGTGTGTGTGTGTGTGTGTGTGGTACCAGGGATTGAACTTGGGACCTTGTGCTTGTGAGGCAGGTGGCGGAACCACTGAGCTAAATCCCCAGCCCTGAAGAGATGTTTGATATCTTTGTTTTCAACAGCATTTCCCAGTGGTGTAGAAGCAGCATGTGTGTTGACGTGAGATATCTCTTCAGCAGCAGCCAAACATCTTAAGGCACCTTCTCCTTCAGGATCAGGGGCAAAATTATGTGACCAGCATCACCTGAGAGTCCATAGCCCAACACTTTTGTATAGATCCAGGCCCTTCTTTGAACATCATGTTCATATTCTTCCAGCACCAGCACAACTGCAGCTTCTCCCAGTACAAAACCATCTCTTGGCCTCCCTTTCCCCTCCCCACCCAGCTGCAGCCGCTCCTGCCTGGCTCTCAGTTATAAGAGGGCACACTGAGTGGCAGCTGCCTCACTGAGCAGGGCCAGGGTCTGTTCAATGGGGACTTGGAGCTCCAGGCCAGCACCCACACCACAGCCTCTTTGGCTCCAGACCCTGCCATTCCCGAAGGAGGTATGGAATATCAAACAAATGCTTAAGTTGACACAGGAACGCATAGAAGCCCTATTGGACAAACTCGGTGGGGAACATAATCCACCATCAATGTACCTGGAGGAAACAAAGCAGTCAAATTGTCATTATTTGCAGATGACATGATACTCTATATAGAAGACCCTAAGAACTCCACCAAAAGTCTTCTAGACTTAATAATCAAATTCAGTAAAGTAGCTAGATACAAGGTCAACACACAAAAATTAATAGTTTTTCTGTACACAAAAAAACAGACTCACTGAGAGAGAAAAGGGGCAATCAATTCCCTTCACAATAGCATCCAAAAAATTGAAATACCTAGGAATCAACCTAACAAAAGAAATCAAAGACTACTACTCTGAAAACTATGACATTCAGAAAAAAGTGATACAATAAGATATCAGAAAATGGAAGGACATCCCCTGCTCCTGGGTAGGAAAAATCAACATAGTGAAAATGGCCATACTTCCCAAACTGCTATATAGATTCAATGCAATCCCAATTGAAATCCCAGCAGCATTCTTCACAGACCTGGAGAAAACAATCCAAAAATTCATTTGGAACAAGAAGAGACCTAGAATAGCAAAAGCTATACTAGGCAATAAAGACAAGGTAGGGGGTATCACAATCCCCAACTTGAAACTATACTACAAAGCTACTGTGATAAAAACAACATGGTACTGGCACACACACACAAAAACAGACCTGAGGACCAGTGGAACAGATTAGAAGATGCAGAAACAATTCCAGACACACTCAGCCACCTCATCTTTGATAAAGGAGCCAAACACCCTCACTGGAGGAAAGATAGCCTCTTTAATAAATGGTGCTAGAAAAATTGGGTTTCAACTTGCCAAAGATTAAAACTAGACCTACATCTCTCACTATGCACTAAACTAAAATCAAAATGGATCAAAGATCTAAATACTAAAACAGAAACACTGGACCAGCTGGAACAGAGGTTAGGTAGAACTCTTGAAGACATTGGTGTAAGAAAAGATTTTATGAACAAACCTCCATTGCCCATGAACTAGCACAAACAATCAACAAGTAGGATCTCTTCTTACTAAAAAGCTTCTGCACAGCAAGAGGAACCACCAACAATGTGAAGAGACAGCCCACAATGTGGGAAAACATTTTCACCAGCTATCCCTCAGACAAAGGTCTACTATCTAGAAATCTATAAAGAACTCAAAAAAATCAGACCTCCCAAATTTAAAGACTCAATCCAAAAATGGGCATCTGAAATGAACAGACATTTCTCAGACACAGAAGTAGAAATAGCAAATAAACATATGAAAAAATGTTCAACATCACTGGTCATTCGAAGAAATGCAGATGAAAACAACACTGAGATTCCACCTCACCCCAGAAAGAATGGCTGCTATCATGAAATGAACCAATAACAAATGCTGGCAGGGCTGTGGGGAAAGAGGAACCCTGCTCCACTGCTGGTGGGAGTGTAGACCAGTGCAACCACTGTGGAAATCAGTATGGAGATACCTCAAAGAACTAGGATTGGAAGTCCCATTTGACCCAGCTATTCCCCTGCTGGGTACCTTCCCCAAAGAATTAAAAGCATCATACCACAGTGATATATGTGCACCCATGTTCATAGCAGCACAGTTTGTAATAGCTAAAACTTGGAAACAGCCCAAATGCCCATCAACTGGAGACTGGATAAAGAAAATGTAGTGTTTTGGTTTTTTTTAATAAAATGGAGTACTACTCAGCCATAAAGAATGAGAAACTATAGACTTTTATAGCTAAATGGATGCACATTGAGGTGATACTCTTAAGTGAAATAAATAGGGCACATGTGTAAATACTGAATAGTTTCTCTAGTATGAGAAACTGAAAGTGTAAATAAGGACTAAAAGGTATAATAGGTAATGTGAAATAGGAAGAAAAGGTGCAAAGGAGAAGTGGGAGTGGTTGGGGAAAGGAAAAAAGGGAATGGAATTAATATGAGAAAAAGAAAAAATGGAAGCAAAGTCTTTGTAGATAGGGAGGGGTGGAGGGGTTGAAGGGAGGGGAAGGGAAGGGTGAAAAATAAGAACTAAGAGAGATTGTGTAAAGGTGCAAATTTCCAATGATGAATGTCATTATATTGTATACCTAAAATGTACCAATAAAATTAATTTTTAAAAAAACCATCTCTGTTTGAAGGAGCTGGTAGACAGGCCACCTTAGGATCTGAGTTTGTGCTTAGAGCTTGGGCTCTGGAAAACCCAGCAAGAGATAAAGGACTACATTGGCTATAAATCTGAAAGCATCTCCCACAACATGAGCTCCTATGGTACAGGCCGTGGATACTGCATGACCAGGGCCCTTGAATTTATATTGAATACTGACCTGGCCCGCTGCCCTATTAATAAAAATCTTAGGGACAAAAAATGAACTGACTTTATTGTACCCTTTTGTCTGAAACATCAAAGCAGTTTCAGAAACAATTTCAAGGGGAACTATTCCCATCCCAATTGCAACACCAGTAGTCACCTGATCAGCTTCTGACTAAGGATGCCAGTTGGAATCTTTCAAGGCTAATTCTGCTGCTCCATTGGCCATGATGGTGGGAGAAGACATGGACTTAACATCTGATTTGGATGCAAAGTTTTGTTCATTGAACTGACCTTCATCAAAACCTCTTGGCACATGAGCAGCAACACTGCAGGGGATATTTTTATACTCCTCACCAACCAGTGAAAGAATTCCACTTTGTCCCTGGAGAAGAAGATCCCATACTAGCTGAGCTCCAACACTGAGAGGAATCACTAAGCTAATCCCTGTAATGACAACCCACCTCTGCAACCTGGATGTTGGCACTGTTCCAAAAAACCTCCTTTTATTTCTTATTAACCGCTGGCACAATCTTGAATATAGAAGATGAGTGCTTGCAACTTTTAGGAAATTTCCTAAGCAGTTTGACCACATGGCTGAGATTTCGGATGATCAGAAGCACATTCCCACAACCTTGCATGTGGGCATCACATAGGAGCATGCCTCAGCCTGTCGACCTTGCGCAGCGTCACCTTGTCTTGAGGTCATGATCTGAGGCTGCCTGGGTCCTGTCAGATTTCTTAGAGATGCTCCTCGGTGCTGTCCTTCAGTGACTCACAGATAGTCAAAGACCTAAATATTCCCATGTTGGCTGAGAAGGGACGCCATCGTCTTGTACTGAGACCAGTTTGTAGAGGCTTCAGTCCACGGTCGGCTGGCTCCGAGCAAGGGCAGTGTGGCATGAGGACATGGCAGAGGAGGCTTGCTCATGGCGTGGCAGCTGGGCAGCAATGTATTCCTATTTTTTTCCTTGTAGCACTAGGATTGAACCTTTTTATTTTTTGAGACATGGTCTCACTAAGTTCCCCAGGCTGGCCTTGAACTTGTGGCAATCCTCGTGCCTTAGCCTCCCCTGTCCTGGGTTTACAGGCTTGCACCACCATGCCCGGTGCTTATTTCTTATATTTTCTGACAAAGTGAGCACAGCACACCACGAAGGGCCTTGTGGGGAGCACAGTGTGGTCAGGAGGCAGAGGCAGGAGAGAGGGGAAGCCTGGGTGGGAGCCCTTCCTAGGGTCTCCGTGGGAAAGCAAGGGTGGCCATGGGGGTGACGGAGGGGCCTGGGCCTAGGGTGACAGGGCAGGGAGAATGGGTGATGGGTGTCCCAGGGGGCCATGCTCTCGAGCCTGCTGTCTACTGTTTAGCATTCGGCCGGCCCTGGGATGGACGGCATTTCCCCAGGTCCGCAAGGCCACCAATACATCACAACATCATAAGGCAGAGAGAATTTTTAGAAATACATGAATACAAGTACCCGTGCTTGAGTGACGAAACATCAGAATTCAGCTCTGAGTGTCTTAACTGTACCGAGTCAACTATTAAGTTTTGCCATGGCCCTTAGCCTAGATCTGGTTTCCTTCTCAGCTCTCCTGGTTGAAGGGAACAAGTGGAAAGTTATACTTAAGTGATGAGTATGGAAAGCACCATCAAAAACTAAATTTTCAGAAGGTGGTGCACACCTGTAATCCCAGCACTTGGGAGGCTGAGGCAGGAGAATTGCTACAATTTCAAGGCCAGCCTGAACTGCAAAGAGAGATCTTGTTAAAAAACAAAAACACAAAGACCCCTAGATTGGACTGTTAGAGATTGGCTGATTGATTGATTGATCTGGACAGGGTCCCACTATGTAGCCTGGGCTGGCCTCAAACTCTCCGGGATCCTCCTGCCTCAGCTTAAGTGCTGAGATCACAGGTGTACACCACCACATCTGGTGGGGAAGGCCAAAGTGACAGACCCCTTTCAGGAACATGTGGTCCCAGCCAGTGCCCAGATGTGCCTGCCTAACCCTGCTTCACCAAACAGGCTCTTCTTTTCCCCAGAGTTTGTCTGCGGTCTGGACGCCTCAGATGAGTTTCTGAAGGAGCGGGTGATCAACCTCCCAGAGAGGGTCGTGGCCGGGACCTACTACACCCAGGACCGCTTCCTCCGGGCGCTGAGCAACTACCGGGACATCAACACCGAAGATGAGACTGTCTACAACTACTTTGACGAAATCGAAATCTACCCCATACACATTGGTAGGACCCGAATGCTGAGGACCGTGGGGCAGAGCACAGGTTGGGGAGCAGAGCCCAGGATGGAGTGGGAAGCCACAGGGGAATAAGGGACAGAGTCCGGATGCCACTGTCCTGGGGACAGGTGCGGGAGAAGAGGCTGCTGTTGCATCAAACGTGGACAGACAATGGTGTGGAGGCTACGTTGACCCATTTTTAAATCAAAGACATGCGCACCTGTGCTGCTGGCTGCTTGGCCCTCCTGAGGCTTCTGTCCAGGGCACCACTACGTGCTTGATGTTCCATCCAACCTCCCCCTTCATTACTGGGGAAGGAACCCAGGGTCTTTGCACCAAGCTATGTCTCCTGCCCTTAATTTTTTATTTTTATTTTATTTTATTTTATTTTTTGAGACAGGGTCTCAGTAAGTTCCTAAGCTGCCCAAGTTGGGCTCGAACTTGCAATCCTCCTGCCTCAGCCTCCCAAGCGTGTGACAACTTGCCTGGCTACACAGATGCTCTTAGCTCAGTTTGTTGCTACTCAGAAAAGCAAATAGCTTTTCATCCCATTTCCTTCTTGTTTTTTTGTAAACATATAACCCATCTTAGCACACACCAGCCACTCAGGAAATACGGTCTGGCACCAGCCTCCTCCTCCTCCTCATTCCTGGCTCCAAAACTGAGCTTTCAAAGACCTTTCCCCCTCGGCCTACTGAACGCCTGGACTTCCTTCCCTGGCCCTCGGGGTCTTGATGCTTCTTTTTGCTCTGGGCTTGGGGAGAAACAACCGGTCCCCAAAATCCAGTGGTCACCTACTGGCCAGGCAGAAGAGGTGGTGTTTGCGTTCTGAGTGTGGGGAGGCCAGAGCTGAGGGACAGAGTCGGCAGGAGGCTGGGGAGCTCACTGAAGTTCCGGCTCGGGCTCGGTTTTCTCGTCCTTGAGGGTCATTTGTAGGATCATTACAGATGGTGGAGAGGAAAGATATAAAGTGCCTGGCACATTGAGGAGTTTGTGCCAATACTAAGGCATAAAATGATGTACTATTAAGAAATAGAAAGCTGGGCGTGGTGGCCCACACCTGTAGTCCCAGCATTTGGGGAGGCTGAGTCAGGAGGACTGCCAGGAGTTCAAGGCCAGCCTGGACTACATAGTGAGACCCTGTCTCAAGAAAACCAAAAAAACCAAAAAACAAGAAGAAGGGGGAGGGGGAGAGGAGGAGGAAGAACTAGGAAAATAACTTTTAAATCTGTAAATTCTTCTCAGTTTTAGGCCCTCAGCAGTGGCTGGGTTTTCCCTCATCTGGATGGGTTTCTGCTCATTGGACATGTTTTATATGTAAAAACCAGGGATTCTATGTCTACTAATATGAAAATTAGTTTACATTGTTTAATTATAAACTAGGAAAGAATGGTGAATATCAGAAAATAGTCACTGTCATCTTTTCAGTAAAGCCCCCAAAAATTATTTATGAAAGTATCAGGAGATCTTGAAGGAGGAGCATTGAGAAAAACAGAAAGGACAAGGGGGAACAGGCGCATGGCCAGTTTATCCTCGCCTGGCTCTGTGCCAGGCACATCTGCCTCATCAGGACAATGACAACTGGTTGATAAAGGGACGGGAATGTGGAGAGATGCTCTTTGGGAAGGTGTCTCAAGGTTTGGCCTCAAGCGGATCTGCGACAGGACCTGGGAAGATGCTGGGAACCATGCTTTCTCTTGGCATGCCTGGACCCCAATCTCTCTCTCTCTCTCTCTCTCTCTCTCTCTCTCTCTCTCTCTCTGTGGACTGAGACCACTCACTGCTTTGTAGTTTCCAAGTTACACTGAGAGCCAGGCGCAGAGCTAGGCAGAGCCCTCTCAAAAGGTCTCAGGGTGCTTAGTGAACTGAGTTGTAATTACACAAAGGATTCAAGGAGAATACACCTAAGCTTGTCAGAGGTCGGACACTCAAGAGGTGCCTAGGGTGACTTTTCTGTTTTTGTGTATGTGTCTTTTGCTTTTTCAAGGGTTTGACTTTGCTCATAACTAATGCATCGCCCTGCTCTCCTCCCTCTCCTCATGTTAGTGATAGAGAAGTGCTCTACAGTGAGACAGGCCCTTGCCTTGCCTCCATTTTTTTCTTATATCCACAGAATGTTTTGATTTGGAAATGTAAGTTTGTGTTGCTGGGCTCCTGCCCAATGTATCAGAATGGTTTGTGACTGAACTGTGTGACCTTTCAGGAATGTTCTGTTAAGCTCTGCCCCCTCACAAGAAGGTTCTGTTAAGCCCCACCCCTTCTCAGGAATGTTCTGTAACCCCACCCCTCTGTTTCAGGAATGTTCTGTAACTCCGCCCCCCCCTGCTTCAGTGAGCATGCTCACAAGGCATGTGTTTCAGGAATATTCTGTAACTCTGCCCCCTTGCTTCAGAGAGCATGCTCACCTACCCTGTAGATCCCTATATAAGGAGCTCTCATTTCTGGTAGAGCTTTCAGACTCCTCTGAGCCAGCCAGGGCTTTCTGGTATAATAAAAGTATTTTCTGTCTACCTCTTCAACTGGCCGTCAGATTCTTGAGTCTTCAAATTAGGAGAGCTGCGACCCAGAGCCACTACACTGAGCTGTCAAGCTCAGCTGTGCCTTCAGCGCTGTGGCACTTGCCTGTGATACTGAGCTGTAACACCTGGGTATAGTGCAGAGCTGCTCTGCTCTGCCGCAACATTAGAACCTGGAGGTGTCTCCCATCTACATCAAGTTCACCCAAACACAGACAGGGACACCTGTGGCTATGCGTGAGGGTGGGGCGGGCAGTAACCCACAGAAGGCCTGGACGGGGTCAGTGCCAGAATGTGTCCACTGCACACCAGTCTCTTGGGTTTTCCAGGAAAACTTAAGACAGCATGTAGAAGTTATGACCTCAGTGTCTTTATGGGAAGCTCATTGTCTAATGAGCCTTTTTCCTCCTCCTCTTCTTTCTGTTGCTCCTCGTCCTCTCTTTAGTCTTGATATTAACATTGGCCACATATTCTGGAGGGTTAGGGTTTATATCTGGCTCTCCCCCCACCAAAACCTCATACACTCAAAGACAGGGGTTGTGGAAGATGATGGGATTATGGGGCACTACAGCTGGCTTGGTGTTGGGAGGTGGGGCCTGGCTGGAAGATACAAGTTACTGGGGATGTGACCCGGAAGGGTTTATCTCCCTTTCCAGCTCCTCCCTTCACTGCTTCCTGTCTGCTCCCCTCCGCAATACCCCTGTGCCATGCTGTCCTATCTCAGAACCAGCCAACTATAGACTGAAACGGGAACCAAAACAAATACCTCTCCTTCCTTAAGTTGCAGGTATTGGGTATTGTGTCTTAGCAATGAGAAAGTGACTAAGATGTATATCCAAGAAGGCTGAGTGAAATGGTTAATTTATTATGAATTAAAATCTATCACAGAGTCATTGATTTTTCAGAAACTGTTGCACGCAGTGAGAAAGAACCAACCAGAGACCAATATAAAATCCACACAGGAGTTTATTACTGGCCAGGACCTGAGCCGAGCATCGGACTTGAGCCCCAACTGGGGGAAGATTAACATATTTTATACACCTTTGAGGCCAACAGTTTCTAGGCCTCCCTATGGGATAGAACTAGTAAAGCAAGCAAAAGGTACAGAAGCAGAATGTCCTGTTGTTAGAACATCTGTAAAATAATAGTTGATTAATTGTTGTTTCTAAGAGACTCTCTAAGGGGAGGAGGTTTCTAAGCTTCCTCCTTTTGAGTTCATCTAAAGGGCAGGCAGGTGGGTCGTTCAGCAGCAATATGGAGTCTGTCTCGCTAACTAGGGTCCTTCAGAAACAAAACCTTAAGGTCATTCTTCCTGGCTTCCAATATGTACAGGATTTCCTTCTGTGGAAACTTCTGGAAGAAATGTCCCAGCCTTTGCTTGAACATTTTCAGGGATGGAGAGCTCACTACTTTTGAGGTGGTCTGTGCTGGTCAGCTTTCTGTCACCATAACAAAAGACCTGAGATAGCTAACTTACAAAGAGGGTCTTAGAGTGCTGCCCCAGCATGTGCAAGGACCTGGGTTCAATCCCCAGCACCTCAAGAGAATAAACAACAAAAGTTTTATTTTGGGTTGAAGTTTCAGAGGGTTCAGTCCATGGTGTTAGCTTTTGCTTTGAACCTGTGATGAGGGAACACGTGTGTCAGATCATAATTGCTCACCTCAACGGCCAGGAAGCAGATGAAGAGACTGGCGTCACAATCTACTTTGAGGGCACAATGCTCCCGACTAAAAGACCTCCCACCAGGCTCCTCCTCTTAAAGGCCCCACCACCTTCCAGTGCACCACCCTGGGACCAAGCCTTAACACAGGGGCTTTTGGGGACATTCACAATCCAAACTATGGCACTCTGGTCCCCCTTTCCATTTACTCACTCTAGAGTGATTATTAGAATTCACAGGCTCAAGCACACTCTTCCTAACCATGATTTTCAGATTCGTGTAACATTTGCACATGAGAAAAGAAATCCTGAAGTGTGCTGCTGACTAGAAAAGGAAACCTCAGTGTGGCAACTGACATCATTTACTACCGCACACTTACACTAATAAAGCACTTTCCCAACTGCTGACAGGGCTGGCATCTAAGTTTGTGTTGATCTCCTCTCTCTTGGTTTTTACAGATGTAGGGAAACTTGAAGATGCTCAGAACAGACTTGCTATCAAACAGCTGATCCGAGAGATTGGGGAGCCTCGGAATTACGGTCTAACAGAAGAGGAGAAGGCAGAGCTGGAGCAGAAAGCTGCAGAGATGCACCTGGCCAAGGAGGCTGCCGAGGAGGCTGCTCGTGAGCAGAAGGAGGCTGCGGAGACAGCAGAGAGGATGGCCCGCTGGGAGGAGTGGGTGAGGTCCAGAGTCTGGGAGGAGTTGGCAAGGCCATCTCTGCCAGCTCCCCTCCCTGTCCCAGTGTAGAGATCCACTGAAATACCTGCAACAAGTTTGTTTGTTTGGATGGTTGTTTCCTTGTCATGTGTACCATTTTTTTAAAAACATCCATGGTCTATGCTTAGTATTAATTAAAAAAAAAACAAGGGCCGGGGATTTAGCTCAGTGGTTCCACAGTCTGGCTCGAAAGTACAAGGTCCCAAGTTCAATCCCTGGTACCCCCCCGTCCAAAATCTCTTATCTCCATATTTAGGGGCTAGGGATTTAGCTCAGTCGTTCTGCCGCCTGCCTCGAAAGCACAAGGACCCGAGTTCAATCCCCGGTACCAAAAACAAAACAAAACAAAAAAACTACCCCTGTGAGTGGTATTAACACAGCATGTATATGTGTAGCATTCTGCATGTTGCCTTGTGATTTAATTCAGTTGTCCCCCATTTATTTATGCATTGCACTCTACTCATCCCACATTCCTAGTTTCCCAGATCACTATGCCTAGTAAGTGATTCTGCTCCCCAGAACAGCACTCAGTTGCATCTGCAGCTCTCCACTTTCTCCACAAGCACACAACAAAAATAATAACAATATTTATGGTGTTTTCTATGGCCAAACAAAAGTTTTATGCTTCCATGTACTCAAGTCCACCCATCCTTTTTCCCCATTGTGATATCTGAGTCTGCTGTCTTGCTGAGAAAGATCTCTTTTTCAAAAAATAATAGTTAGGACTCTATCTTGCAAGTTACAGAAAAGCAAACTCGAGATATCACAGACATAAAGAAAACGTATGGATTCCTTGGGCAGTGCAAAGGTCAGGCTGGCTTCAAGTGAGGCCCAATCTGGCGGCTCTGACGTCACCAAGGACCTGAGAGGCCTTCTCTGTTCTGTCTTCTGCGGTTGGCTGCACCTTGCTGTGCTCACCCTGAACTGATGTCCATGGCCACCCACACCCTGAGGCTCAGTTTTGGTCTTTTTTAGATAGTGTCTCATTATGTACTCTGGGCTGGCCTTGAGCTCACTACGGGTTGACCTCAAACTCATGATCCTACTGCCTCAGATTCCAAGTGCTGGATTACTCAGCACACCTGGCAGAGCAGGAAGACCTCTGAAATGAAGCCTGGAGTTACTGTTGCTAAGAGAGGGGGAGATGGTATGCCAAGCAAGGAGTACACACGACCCCTTACTAACACTCTTCGGATTTCTAGTAGCACTCCTGTGATTTCTCTCTCTTCCTCTTTCTCTCTTCCTCTTTCTTTCTTACTTTCTTTTCTTCACCTGGGAAAACAGAAATTATTTTGGTATAAGAATCCAAGCTGGGGATGGTGCATGGGCGTGGTGGTGTGCTCCTGTAATCCTAGCACTCTAACAGGCTGAGGCAGAAGGATTGAAAGTTCAAGCCCAGCCTGGGCAACTCAGTGATTTAGGAAGATCTTGTCTGTATCAAAGAATAAAAATGTTCAGTGCAAAGGCCCTGTGTTCAATCCCCAGTACAAAAAAAAAAAAATCCAACCGATAGAGTGATGCACACCTATGATCCTAGCACTGGAGAGGCTGAGGCAGAAGAATTCCAAGTTTGATGCTAGCCTGGACTACATAAGAAGTTCAAGTCTGGTTTGGACTACATAGAAAGACTCTGCCTTTAAAAAAAAGTTCATGACTATAATCCCAGCACTTGGGAGGCAGAGGCAGGAGGATCTCTGTCAGTTTGAGGCCAGCCTGGGCTATATAGTGAGTTCAAGGCCAGTCTGAACTACATAAGGAGACCCTGTCTCAGAAAAAAAAAAAAAGTGTCTAACTGTAATGCGCTCTGGGGGGAGTTATGTAAAAATGTTTTCCCCTTTCCGGCTGTAAATTTAACCCACCCCAAATGTTCTGTTTATAGAATAAACAACTAGAGGAAGTGAAGAGAGAAGAAAGAGAATTACTGGAGGTGCAGTCTGCTCCCCTGAGAAACTACTTAATGACCCATGTTATGCCGACTCTCGTGCAAGGTCTGAATGAGTGTTGTAAGGTTAGACCGGATGATCCCGTTGATTTTCTGGTAAGAGATTTAATTTTTTAAAATATTGATTTGAAAATAAAATATGCCTGAAATTTAGCAGAAAACCAGTTGAGATAGAGAAACTGTCTGGTTATTTGGGAAATAGCTTCTAATATGTTTAATTTGCAGTAAGATTTCTGCTGCTCCTCCTCCTCCTCCTCCTCCTCCTTTTCCTTCTCCTTCTCTTCTTCATCTTCCTCCTCTCTCACACACACATATTCTTATATAGTATGACTTTTATTATTCATTTGGAAGCATAATTTATGTATTTTAATTTTTTTAATGTGGTGTGTGTGGGGGGGGGGTAAGGATTGAATCCAGGGCCTTACTTGTGTTAGGCAAGAACTGCTCTATCAATACAGAGCAAAATAAAAGACAGAGCATAGGAAGTAGGGAGATAGATCTTTCTCAAAGGGAAAGGGGTCAAGACATTGCAGGGGTGGGGCCGGGGCCTTAGCTCCCTGGTGGCGACCCCTGGTGCACAAGCGCAAGGACCCAAGTTCGATCCCCAGTACCAAAAAAAAAAAAGAGAGATGGAGATGTGGGAGGGGACAGAAAGGGGATGTGAAAAGGAATTAAATTGTGTTATATACATGCACCAACTCCACACAAGTAATGTAAACATTATGTACTCATAAAAAAAAGAAGTGCTGTACCATCAAGCTACACCCCCAGCCCTTATTTTGTTTTTTTCCGGTAATGGGGATCAAACTCAGGACCTTGTGCCTGCTCAAGGCAGGCACAGTGCCACTAAGCTAAATCCCTGGCCTGTGACCTTATTTCCATTATATATGTGACACATACCTGCAGTGCCCACACTCTGAGAGTCTAAGGCAAGAGAGTGGAAGCTTGAGCCCAGGGGGTCAGTGTAGCGATTTAGGAACACCCAGTTTCAAAATAAAAAGCAAAAAGGGCTGGGGATACAGCACAGTGGTAGAGCACTTCTCAGTTTGAGCCTCAGTATTAAAGAGAGAGAGAGAGAGAGAGAGAGAGAGAGAGAGAGAATACTTTCTAAATTGTTTTTCCCTTTTAATTGTAGGCAGAATATCTTTTCAAGAACAATCCTGAAACGCAGTAAAACGTTGAAGACTTGGTGTCATCCACCTTTACAGAACAACCTAACATTGTCATTGGAAAAAGTGCTTTCAAAATACATTCCCAGATTTTGAAATTTTTTTCCTGTAAGCAAATATTCTGTAAAGTAGAACCATTATAAAAAGCAATATGGCAATAGATGACTACTTCATTAAAACTTTCTTTGAAAAGAGATGGGTAGCCCCTTGGTGCATAGCCATAGGGACAAATACAGATTTAATATTTCATCTTTAGGTCAGTTCTAGTATTCTGCCTCTGCACAGTCTACTTATAGTAATCTAATTTACAGATGAAGAAATCATATTCTAGTACATAGGCTAATGATTTTGCACAGCTTTGCACACCCAATAACCAATGATGTTTGAGACAGAAATAAGTCAGAATGGTTTGTTTGTTGGGCCCCAGTTTGTGAGCCAAGATTGGCTTTTGCAAGGTTGGTTTTCAGTTTAGGGTCAAGATTCCAACCAGTGGCTCAGAGAGAACTACAAACTTTGTGGTGGAAAAATTTGTGTGGCTACACGTGGATACGTGATAATTAGAAAATTGATGAAGCCAGGCATGGTGGTATATGCCTCTGATCCCAGCACTCTGGGAGGCTGAGGCAGGAGGATCACAAATTTGAGCCCAGCCTGGGCAACTTAGCAACTTAGTGAGAGACTGTCTCAAAATAAAAAATTTAAAAAGGGCTGAGGATGTAGCTCAGTGCAAAGTCCCTGGGTTCGATCCTCAGTACAAAAAAAGAAAAAAAAAGCTGCTGAATATTTTTGACAAGCTCTATAATGTAGGCATAAGCTATCAATCTCTATGGGGTTTCTTCCCCAGCTCTAAAAACCCCACAAGCCAAGGGTTGGGGGTACACCCCTGTGGCTGAGGCAGGAGGATCACCACAAGTTTGAGCCCAGCCTCGGCTACACAGTGAGTTCAAGGCCAGCCTGAAGTGCATATCAAGACCCTGTCTCAAAAAAATAAAAATAAAAATCCCATAAAACTTCTAGAAATGGGCTGGGGATTTAGCTCAGTGGTTTCGCCGCCTGCCTCACAAGTGCAAGGACCCAAGTTCAATCCCCGGTACCAAAAAAAAAAAACAACAAAACTTCTAGAAGTACTCTGAATGAGAAATTAGGTTTAATGGCACATACATTTTATCTTTTTGAATAATATACCCTGAATATAGCCACATTTTTAATGGTAAAGTAGACATAACATAAAATGTACCATTGTACCCATTTTGAGGTGTACTTTCCCTGGCACCAACTACACCCACCACCTGGACCGAGTGCCAGGATTTTTCCAGCACCCAAAGAAAACCTCACGCCCATCAGCAGCCACCCCATGACCCCTGTCCCCAGCTCTCAGTAGCCCCTGACCTCGATTTGGGTCTGTATGAATTTGCCCATTCTGGATTCTCCATAGAAATGGACCATGCAGTCCTCGGCCTTGTGCCTCATTTCTTTCACTTGGCAGTGTTTTCATAGCTCATGCTGGAGCATGCACTCATGCTTCATTCCTGTTTTTTTTGTTTTGTTTTTTTTTGGTGCTGGTGTTTGAACCCAGGGCCTCACATATGCTAGGCAAACACTTTACCATGGAGATACATCTTAAATTTTTTTTTTCCAGTACTGGGGTTCGACCCAGGGCCTTTGTACTTAGCTGCATCCCAGCCCCCCTCCTTTTCGACAAGGTCTTGCTATTTAGCTCACACTAGCCTTGAACTCATGGTTCTCCTGCCTCAGTCTCCTAAGTGCTGCAATTATAAGGCATGGGCCACAAATGCTCAGACTTTGTTCCTTTTTATCCCTGAATATTCACTGTTTGAATTTGTGTAACACTTTATTTAATCATTCGTTGAGGGTTTATGGGTTTGTGTTCACCTCTGTCACTGTGACAGAATACCCACGGGCAATCAGCTTAAGGGGAAAAGACCTGTTCTGGCTGCTCACCTCATGGCAGGCAGGAAGCAGAGAGGGAGCTCATTGCTACATCAGAACCCATTAAGCCCTGAATCTGTAACAGGATTAATCCATTAATCATGATCCAGTCACCTCTTAAAGGCCTCTGAATATTCCTGCTGCACTGGGGACCAAACATTCAACACTGGAGCTTTGGGGGAACATTAAGGGTTCAAATAACAACAGGTCTGTTTCTCTTTTGGCTACTGTGACCAGAACTGCTATGAACACTCACGTACAAGTTCCTGCTTGAACACTTGTCGATTCTATAAGTGGATACTAGGAGTGGCGTGGCTGACAAACAGCAGCGCTGGTGAGCTTCCTGAGGAGCTGCCAAGCTGTTTCCCAGGGGTGGTATCACTTTGCATTCCCACCAGCAAGAGAGATGGCTCCAATGCTCCACAACCTCACCAGCTGATAATAGTTTGTGCCTGAACGGTCTTTTATGTTGAAGGCTGGCTTGGTCACCAGCAAACGGTTACTGGGAGGTGGTATATATTAGGATATGAGCTCTAGTGGGAACAGGTAGATTATGCTGTAGGCCTTAGAAGGGTGTATTTATCCCCAATACCTTCTCCTTTCTATCTCTCCCTGTCTCCTTTCTGAACTCCATGAGGTAGTTTGCTCTGAGACACCCTCTGACCATGGTATTCTGCCTGAGGAAGGCTGAGAAACAATGGAGCCACCCAGCCATGCGCTGAAACCACTGAAACTGTGAGCCAAAACAACTTTCCTCCCTTTAAGTTGATTTTCTCAGGTATTTTTGCACAATGTGGGAAAACTAACACACCAAACTTGATATTTTATGATTGATTGATGGTGGTACTGGGGAATGAACCCAGGGGTTTGAAATGAACTATACCCCAGCCCCTCCCCCCTTTTTTCCAAGACAAGGTAATGCTAAGTTGCTAAGCAGCCTGAGCTGCATTTGAACTTGCAGTCCTCCTACCTCAGCCACTCAAGAGTCATATACCACCAGGCTCATTTGACCCTTACATTTTAATAGAAAATACAAACAAAATAGAGAATGTCAGTTGTTTTATTTTTGGTTCATGCAGGAAAGGTATATGTTCTACTGCTGAGCTACTTCTTGCTCCTCAATTAGGTAATTTTATTAACAATGTAAAAAGTTCTAAAGCAAGAATGGTAGCACAAATCTGTAATATCAGTACTATGGTAAACTGAGACAAGAGGTTCGAAATTGAATGCAGCTAGGTCAATTTAACAAAACATTGCCTATAAATAATAAAGGCTGGGGATGTCGCTCAGTGTGAAGGCCCTGTGTTCAATCCCCAGTAACACTAAATATATATACATATATATGATGTATATATATGTGTGTATATATAGAGAGAGAAAGATTAGAGTTTTAGCTTTCCAATACCTTTCAAAACCTATAGCTCAAAATTTGTGCTTCATGTATATTGAAAACAGGATGCATCCTGGCATATGCACACAAATGGGCCATAACATGAATGAGTTCTGTATTTCCAAGGGCACCAAGCCTTTGCTTTTGGTACAAAGCAGAGCCAAATGAAAATCACTTAAAAGCAGAGGAAAATATCTAGATTCATGGCAAAACAGCAACAGAGGGGTTTCTAGCAATCACCCACTCTGGCTTTATGTGTTTACCTAGCCTTGAAAGTATTTTTTTCCATTAATGTCAAGAACTGTGGCATGTGCCCGATATAAAAATGGTCAAAACACAAATTAAAAACACCAAGAAAATCAAGCATAATTATAATTTTACTTTTGCTAAATGAAAACATATTTAACTTGGATTCTAAGTTAGGTTAAGCTCCACTCTGCAACTGTTGGGTTACATAAAATTGTAGTATTTACTGTCATCCTCCTTCTTGCTGGTACTCGATGCCGACACCCGGCCCTGGGACATCTTCCAGGCCGGTTTCTTTTTGGAGAGAGCCAGCATTTCCTTCTCCAGAGCTCTCCTCTGCTCTTCGAGTTTCAGGGTCTCCTTCTGCTGCATGCGTTCCAGCTGCTCGAACCTGGCCTGCAGCTGCCTCAGTCTCCTTCAGGACGGCCTCCTATTCCTTCACCCGCCTGGCAAACGCCTGCTTCAGTTCGGCCTCCTTCCTGCGACAGGCCTCCAGGAACTGGCGTCTCCGGGCCTCGGACTCCTCGGCTTCCGCGGGGCACGGCGGCCCGCTCCCCGGGCCCGCGTCGGCCCAGCCCAGCTCGCGCAGCCGGTGGCGCCAGTACAACTCATAGTGCCGCGAGTGCGTCTGCTCCTGCAGGTCCTCCATGTTGGTGCACACCAGCATCTCCCGCAGCTTCACCAAGTCGCAGTGCTCCTCGTTCTCCACCTCCACCGGGCCCCAGCAGTACTGCCGTCCCCGCACCAGCCTGCCGCCCACGCGGACCTCATCCGTGCTGCCCACCAAGGCGAAGGGCAGCTGCTTGTTCATGGCGGCGTTGAGCCTGGCCGCGGCCTTGTCGTCGGTCGGGAAGCGGTACAGCTGGACGCCCTGGGCGGCCAGCTTGGCCGTGACGCGCGCCTTGAAGCGCTGCAGCTCGGCCCGCGACAGCGTGTCGGCCTTGGAGATGAGCAGGATGACGTTCACCCTGCTGCCCAGGCTCCTCAGCGCGCACAGGTCGAGCGCCCTGAGCGAGTGGCCCGTGGGCGCCAGGAAGTAGAGGCACGCGTGGAGGCGCGAGTCGGGCCGGGTGGCGGGCACGCGCGGGACACGCAGCTCCTCCTGCAGGAAGGCCTCGAACTGCGCGTCGATGTAGGCGGCGATGGGCAGGTGGCCGTCCTCCCGGTCCACCTGGTCCCCGAAGCCCACGGTGCTCACCACGGTCAGCGTGAGCGCCCCGTTGCTCTCGCGCAACTCGTGCGTTTCGGCGCGCAGACCTACAGCCGGACACAAGTGCGAGGCCTGGGCGCCGCTGGGCCGCGTGTTGAAGAGCGTGGCGACCAGCGTGGACTTGCCGAGGCTCGTCTCGCCCACGCACAGCAGGTTGAAGCGGAAGCCCTGCTGCACGCGCCTGGCCACCAGCTGCTCGGGCAGCGCCTCCAGCCCGACTTGGCCAGTGGGCGTCTGGCTCCGGACCGCCTCTGCCTCGCCGCGGTCGTCGTCGTCGTCGTCGTCGTAGTCTCCATGGTCGGACCCCTGCGAGGACCGGGTAGCTTCTTCTGTGGCTGCGTGGGGCTGCGAGCCTGGGCGCCAGGC